AAATACCATTTTTATCTTTTAAAATGTAAATAACATATAATGTAAGTCGCATTTTTAAACTGAAACTTGAAGTTTCTGACGTTTACAGTCCCATTTCCATGCTAAAATGTGAGGTCTACTAAAGCCAGAGCCTTGGATGGACAAAAACTTGCACTTCCCACTATCAGGCCAGGAACGGACTTAATCAAAAAGAGCCTGCAAGAGTTTCAATTTTGACGTTTAGGTTGAGCAATGTTTCCATTTTGACTATATTAGTAGGTATAACTCTGAAATTTAAATTTTAAATAACAGACAGTCCAAAGAACGGGCAAGGACAAAGAAGCCCTTCAGTACAAATGGTTCTTAATAGAGATTAAAACTTTCAAATAATTCATTGAAATTGAGTCCAAAATAAAATAACGATTGTATAGATAATCATGATAATTATGGATTATCAGTCATGAAAATCATGAGGCAAACATTTAGGAAAAGCCCTTGTAATCTCATTTTTAGATAAACCCTAAATCTCTCTCTAAATCTCCTGTAGATAGCAAATAATTTCTCTGGAAGCCTCTCTCTAATGCACTTGTCCCGATTTTATAGATGTGATTATCAAATAATTTTTTCTTGGTATCAATATCCAATGTCAAATCTGTATGAAAAACATCTTTGTTTACAGTTGAATAAAGCAATCATGTTTACGCGTTTTCCGATCATTGACAAATATCTGATATCTGCTTTGTTGTTTTGGAACGTCATTTTGTGGGTTGTTATCGGCCGCGTTCTTGAGTTTTGTGCGACCATCAAAAGCAAAGGCCTTGTAACAGACGGCCTTTTATTTGATTATGGATCAGGAACGTTTAAGTAGTCCACAGCAAAAATTGGAGACGGCATGACGAATGGAACAGATTGTAAAAGGGTTATATAAAATGTTGTAGCAATAATATTCTGTACCGATACTTGTGAAAGAAACCAGGATTTCTTAAAATCTAATATCATTTGGATGCAATTTCATTATAAAATTTTTGAGATCTTGCAACTAGAATTGAACACTGCTATTCAGACAGTAATGGCTACGTCACTATCAGATAATAAGTTTCCCCTGTTCTGTGGTGGTTTGTTTTTTTTTATATCAAAAACTGTTGATAGGACAAATGAGGAAAATAAGAGTTAACCCGAAAGCAATGAAAATAAAGTTTGAAAAAGATAAAAATATGCAGACTCGGTTTGATTGATTTTGTTCCTGAGAAATAATGGAAAGTGGAATATCTCTAACACTCTAAGGCCCCCTAGCACCGGCTTAAATACACTAAAACTTGAACAAAGAGCAGACGAATGTCGCAACAAAACATAGATAAATAAAATCAACTTTGTGATTTTCTCCTTTTTATTCAAAAACTAAATTTGCAAACAACAAAGTACAAAATAAAACCAAAATAAAACATATAATAAACTCTGACTATCCATTTATAAATTAAAGTCTACAATTGTTTGTCTAATTATATGTCAAAATATAAATAAACCAGGTAAATAGGTATGTGAACTTATATGCTTATTGGCAATAGATTCATCACTGTTTGAATTGAACTCGACGTGTCAATGCAACCAGTATGATATCATACAATCCTTCATTACTAAGTAGACTTACACGACTTATAATTCTGTTATTTTAATAAAATTAAAATATCTGAAAGGAACATTATACCTCAGAAACTAAATAAATTTTTTACTCCTTTAGAAAGGAGTTTTATAACTTATAAATTATGGTTTAAGAGCATTATGCTTCTAATCTGAAAAAGTAGCGCTAATTGTGAAATAATTTGTCATAGAAGTAACAAAATGTAAACAAAGTAGTATTTTGACTTTCATACAAAATCACTATAATTGTACTAACCATTAAAATGCAAACGAACTAAAATATTGTTCATATAATTTGCCAACGAACCACTTTTTGGAACCTTTAAAAGTATACCAACGACGTTTAGCTTTTGAGAGAGAAAAAAACGAAAGCGTTTCTGACATAAAATGGGCCTTTAAAAAAACAAAGTACACTCTCCCATTGACAAAGGAAAATAAGACATGACAGGCAAATTATGCAAATTTAGCGGTGTAATAGTAAATATCTGTACCGTATATATTACTTTAGATAAAATAAATACAAGTGTATAAAGCTTACGATATGGAAAAATTGATTTCTTATTGCTATTATTAAGTTAATGCCAACATGTGTATAATAAACTAACAATAATTAATAATAATAAAAAGTACTTTAAGAAAATAGCAATTACATGGCACAAGTAGTGTTTTATTAGCAGTATGCCGATAATCACAAACGCATTTGATGTAGAAAAACACTGAAGATGTTAAACAATATATCAGTACCAGCTAAGACTATACTATCCTCATGTACACACATGAAATAAAAGAATCTTAGCCGCCCTGCACATATTATAATAACTAGAACTCCGCGAGTCGGATGTGTCGCCTTGTGAACAATGTAGTTTAGGGGAAATGGCCAGGACAAAAATGAAATATGAAAAATAACAAAGGGCAATAACTAAAAAAATAATAAGTGCAGAGCAGCAGTTTCTGTACACTGCACTTCTTATCAATAAGATCTATCATTCTATGATGTTTCAAGTCCATAGCTTTCATACTTGACCAGGACAAAAATAAAGTAAGAAAAGCAACAAAGGGCAATAACTCAAAAATAAGAAATGCTGAGTATCAGTTCTTATGCACTGCACTTCTTTTTAATGAGATCTATCATCCTATGAAGTTTCAAGTCCATAATTTTTATACTTTCAGAGAAATGGCCTGGACAAAAATTAAGTATGAAAATAAACAAAGGGCAATAACTCAAAAAATAAGAAATGCAGAGTACCAGTTCTTGTGCACCTGCACTTCTTCTTAATGAGACCTATCATCCTATGAAGTTTCAAGTCCATGGCTTTTATACATTAGGAGAAATGGCCCGGACAAAAATAAAGTATGAAAATTAACAAAGGGCAATAACTCAATAATTAGGAAGTGCAGAGTACTGGTTCTTGTGCACTGCATTTCTTCTTAATGAGATCTATCATCCTATGAAGTTTCAAGTCCATAGCTTTTTTTAGTTGAAGAGAAATGGCCCGGACAAAATTAAAGTATGAAAATTAACAAAGGGCAATAACTCAAAAAATAAGAACTGCAGAGTACTGGTCCTTGTGCACTGCACTTCGGGTTATTGAAAGAAGCATGCATACCAAGTTTGAAGTCAATCAGACTTATAGTGACTGAGTTATGCTCCGGACAAGCTTTAGCGGACGCCGACGCCGACACAGACGCCGCCGCCGCCGCCGACACCGCCGACAAAAGTAACCCCTATATGTCACCTTTTCAAGGCGACACAATAAAAGTTCATTTGGCTCAAACAGCGACCTAAAGTAACGCATTCCATAAAATCACCCCTTTATCAAAAAAAAAATCAATACAATTAAGTCAAAATGTTATTTTTAACTTCCAATTAGGTACAATATTTCAAAGCAATTACGAAAGTAATCATTCATTAAATGAAAAAGGGTCTAAAGGTTTAAACGTCTATACATACACCTACTGTAAAATATATAATTTTTGTATTGAAATTTTGTTGCTATCCCCAACCAAAATAAAAAAAAAATATCAATGGCTAAGCCTAAAATCATAGACAATACCTAAAACATTAGAATGGCTTTCGAACACTTCATAACATATTGACGATTGTCTGTCAAAGTTTCCCCCTTGCATTGTAGTTAATAATTCATTTTAACCAGAGCACCATTTTGAAAATTCAAGCCATAAACTTTCAAAACTCAAACTAACTCACTTGGAGACATTCAGGCTTTTAACAATGGTATAAACTGTATGTGAAAGAACAGTTACATATAAAATAAAAATGTAAATATAATAAAAATGCATCATGGATGGAGTACAAAGGCACCAAGCTGTGTAAACTAGGGCACAAACTTACCCACAGGTTGTGTAAATAAAAAGTAAAATGAGATCTAAGTAGCTATAAATCTCAAAATGGCAAGCTTTTAAAACCCTGTGGAATCTTAAAAAACATTAATTTGCATAGTATCTTCGTGCTTACATAAACTTTATATAAATATACACTGGCTGCAAAAATTGATAGATGATCTCACATTCAAATGTACATCAGACATAGATTTAGTAAACATCGGAAATTTTCTAACAACATGACTCTTTAATTTAAAATATACTGGAAAAATTAAATTGAAAAACAAATCTTCATTACGTAAGTTCACGGAGCTTGAAAACTCGTATATATCATTTACAAAGATTTATTTTCTAGACGATTCTTCAGCGACGATTTTGTTAAGGACAAATAATAATGTAAGTATTTATATTTATATAACATCAATCAAAGGTAATAACCATATTTTATGAATTTCATGTCTGAATTCATATGTAAATTTACGTTTCATTAAATTGCTTTCAATCTTTCTTTGAATTTACGACGATCAAATAATTCCAGAGATTGTCAACGTTAATTAGAACCACAAAAATCATACTATGTGTAATTTTGTATCTATGTTAGTTTGTAACAGATAAAAGTGAAAATCAATATCAATTTCTAAGCAGTATTAACAGCCTTTGATCACATTTCATAATCAACATTTGCACCATCTTCTTAAACACATCTAAAAACGCCTTTAGTACCATTAATAATCACATTCATAGTTAGTGTCTATAATCAAAGTCATTATTGAGCCGCGCCATGACAAATCCAACATAGTGCCATGACAAATCCAACATAGTGCCATGACAAATCCAACATAGTGTGTTTGCAACCAGCATGGATCCAGGCAGCCTGTGCATCCGCGCAATCTGATCAGGATCCATGCTGTTCGCTATCTGTTTCTCTACTTGTAATAGGGTTTGTAAGCGAACAACATGGATGCTGATCAGACTGCGCGGATGATACGCATTATGCTGGATTTGTCATAGCGCAGCTCATATGATAAATGTTCTGTATTTGAAAAAAAAAATCCATTGTGTTCTACAAGTGTAAAATCTATCTCAATTTTATGAAATATATGTCCAAAAAAAATCTAAATATCAGAATGAAAAAAAGAACATACAGAAACTAAAGCTAAAAAGGAATAAACACATGATATTATATCGTTGTTTTTTTGTTTGTTTTTATTTACTTTTTTTATTATATTTTATGTTTTATTTAATTGATAATATATAATGTTATACTGGATCACCCTCTTCTTGCTCATATTCAATACCGGTATTCCATAATTTCATATAAGCATCCACCACCATTTATAACTTAATAAATACTACATTTATACATCAATTATAAATAAATAAATTAAAATGCTTAACATATAACACATAACAACGCCATTTCATGAAACAAGTATATTATTATGCCTCTTCTTAGGGACTTTGTTGTTCAAGTATATAAAAACAAAATTTGTGTCTTCAGTCAAAATAAATAATTTCCTTTCAGCAAACCAATTCATGATTTTAACACCTCTTTGTTTTTCAATCTATTTTCCGAACAAATAAGAATAAAAAAAACAGTGCAAACTTGATCTCTAAAAATTATTAATATTTTACAGGAACAATTTATTCATCTTTATATCGCTGGCAGTTACAATAAGAGATAAATTAGCAAATCTGTCTGATCTTAAAATTAGTGTAAAATCTATTTTCTATTCTTCTTTTTCTTCTTCTTGCTTTTAGATTCTTTTTCAGGTGATGTTTTCACTTTTCCATTAACATCACGCTCCTCTGAACTTCTACTAGAACTACTAGGTGAGTCATCGTACACAGACATTGACATTGCAGACACACCTACCTCATTCTTAGTACCCAAAGCAAAACTTTTTTCATCATTCGTTTCTGACAATGGACTTGCTTTTTCACTTTTAATTAAGCTTGACTCATCAAAATGATCGTTTCCCTCATTAATTTCAATTTCATTTGAACTATTTGCTTTGTTAACTGATCCCGAAGATTTAGATTTCCCTGGCAGATCGTTTACAGCTTCATTCATTTCGTTTGAAATATTACTACATGACTCTACAGCAGTATCACGTTCAGATTCATTCTCTTCAGAACATTCTTCAAATCTTTCCCAAGCCGATGGATCATCTTCTGCAGAATCTGCCGTTTCATACTTTGACCCTGACTCTGCCGAATCTTCCATTTTCTTCTCCATTATAATTACTCCGAATTCGTCATCCTCTTCATCAATTTTTTGTGGTTCTTCATTAGAGTCAACTGAGATTTCAGCCCAAGTAGTACTCTTTGATTTCTTATCTGAGTTAGTATCATTTAAGTTTTTATCCTCCTTAATTTCACTACGAGTTTCTTTAATGTTTCCTTGCTTTTCTTCCAGTAAATTTTCTGTTTCCTGACATCCACCAAGTGTTTTCTTGTTTGACCAAACATTTTCAATGACTGTTGATTTACCTTTAGTTACTTTATTTTCAGATGATGGGCATGGGGATTCAGTTGAGGTATCCCCATTTTTCTTCTTCTTTTTCCCCTTTTTCTTAGTCACAACAAACATTTCCTCGTCTGCCATTTCAGCTTGAGCTTGTTCATTCTTTTGAAGTGTAGTTGTTTCCAAAACTTCTGATTTTCCTCCAGATTCAATATTGGGATTTTCGTCCTTATCATTTGACATTGGCTCATCTTTTCTACAGACCTTACTGTTTTTCACTTTAACAATGTTATCATTGTTTGATGCAACGGCAGAAAGTTCTTCCTTGCCAGTGTCACAGACTTCGCTCAATTCATCTGGTATTTTTTCTACAACAGAGGAAACTTCAAACTTGTACTCTGTCTTCTCTGTGTAATTTTCCTTCTTTACATCTGTTTCTTCTAACCTTACCACTTCTTTAATTGCATGTGACTCATTTACACCTGATTCTATATCAGTTTGCTTCTCAGAATCCTTTGGTATTTCACCATAACATGAATCTTCAAACATATTTTTCTTCTTCTTACGATTTTTCTTACTTTTAACTTGAAACATATCTTCATCAGACTTAAAAGAATTTGATTTTACTGGTTCTTTATCAGAGACAGCTGACTGAAATTCTGATGACTTTAATTTATCATTAACTTCTACATTTTGTTTTTTGGTATCATTTTCACTTTCCGTCAGTTCAGCTTCCTGTGTAAGAGACAAATTCCTTTCTGATTCTTTAGGTTTTTGTTTGTTTCTTTCTTGTTTATCATCTTTATTTCTTGATATATCTTTTGTTACAGAAATTTCAGACTTCAGAGTGCACTCACCATCATATTTAAAGTCGTATACTTTCCTATGTTCCATACTTGTTGCAACAAGATCTTTTTCATTGGTGCTCTCATTTTTTCTCTTTTTCTTCCCTTTGGATTTTACAACAGTATCAAAATTTGAATTCATATTTTCTTCAACAGCTTCAGGAGAAATTGATTTCCGAATTTCTAATCCTTTATCTTTCTCTAGCATTTTAATTTCACTGGTTTTCATATTTTCACTTGAAGATAATTTTTCATCCTTATTTTTGTTTGGACTATTTATTTTTTGCACTGATGTGTCTGGACATAAGTCAATGTTTTCAGCTAAACCCTAAAATAATTTCCCTTTATCCCAAACCGCTTCCCAATTTTTATCAAGAAAACAAAAACAGTTTTCCCGTTTTTTTAAAAAATCAAAAATCAGAGGGGTTTAAGCCAATTTTTTTCCTTCAAGTGATAAAACTTTTACTGATTCAAAAAAATTTTTAGAACATTTTTTTATGGGTTTGCTTTTTCCTTTTTTAGTTTGGCTTACAAATTTTGATACTCCCTTTAATTTTTTGCTTTTTTTTCTTCTTTATGGGGTTTTTCTGGTCAAGATTCAAAACAATTTAAATTTTTTTTTTGTTTTTTTTTTTTCCTTTTTTATTTTCCCCTTTTTAATTTCCCTTTCAATTTCGATGTTGTCAATTTAAAGGGTCCATTGCTTTTTTGTTTTGGGCTTTAATTTTTTTCCCTTACCAGTATTTCCCCTTTTTATCACCGAGTTTGAAGGCTGTAAATTCTTCTCACCTAAAGACTGGCCTAATTTACGACATCCCTTTGACTATCTTTTTGTAAATTGTTTCAATATTGCAAATCTTCATTTTCATTCTTCATTACTAAATTATTTTTGACACTATCCCTACATGAAAACATCTCAGATTTCAGAAGAACCAAAATTTGGCATGGTTTTTCAATAAATGTTTGGCAGTGCTGTAATGTTTTTGTTTATGCTGGGTTAGAGACCCCAGTTTTTTTTTGGGGCCAGTAGATTCCTTTTTCCTGTTTGATTATTTCCACATGTGTCATTTACATGGGAACCTACAGACTCTTCAGAAGACTTAATTTTTTCAGCATCTAATTTGGCAGTAATTTCGCTTGGCTTATCCTGGTTAGATTTTTTGTTACTTTTCATTTTACCAGATTTTTCAGAAGATTTTTCATTTTTAACCAAACTAAATCATCTATTTTTTGGGCTAGTGTTTCTTTGCGGGGATTATTTTTTTGGGAGTGATTTTTTCTGCTTTCCCCCGTTCCCTTTTTTTAATCCCCTTTTTCAATTTCATCCTTATATCATTTAAATCCCGATTTTTTTTCACCCCTTTTTGAGCGAGGTACACACTTGGGAAATCTGGGTTCAATTGACTTTTTTACCCTTTTTTTTTCCTTTTTTCCTTATCATTTGAAATGCACCCTTAACAGGGACTGTTTTTTTTCTACATCTTTACTCTTTTACACTTTAATATTGTTTTCCTTTTCCCCTGCTTGCTTTGCTTTCCAGAAATTTCTTTTCCCTTTTTTCCCCTTTTGTTATGTTTCTGATTCCAAATTTCCCGATCTTTTTTCCCCCCCAAATCATCCCCTTTAACCCCACTTCCTTTTTAGCAGCCCTTGTCTTCTCCTTATGAATAACTCCAGCACCTTCATTTTTTTCTACAACATTCTTCTTCCCACCCTGATCTCTTGCCTTTTCTGCTCTTACACTTGCTCTTGGATTGTCTATTGTTAAACAAAGGTTTTAATATATGACGCTGATATTATGGGGATTTTAGGTGTTGTAACATCTAGACACACTTGTTGGGCGTCAATACAAACAAAAAATGGTAAACACTAATACAAATGTTAAAAGTAGGTAACAGAAGTAAGGTTTAAACTTACTGGTAATGAAATGGGATAAGAAAGGAAAGGTGAAAGAAGTGTATACCTATACCACAATATAAAAATTTCGAAACTAAATGTATAAAGCTTAACACCAATTTTTCACCAAATTAATACTCAAACAAGACAAAAAGAAGCCCTATAATATCCATTTTAACTCTATGTATTTTAAGATAAAAGCTCTAACTATTGAATAATGATATAAGTAATTTGAATACATGCAAAATTACCATTTGATGTCTGAGTGAAAGCTTCTCAAATCTTTACATGGTGATTTACATAGCATCAGCAAGTGTCTCTTTAAGTCGGATCTTTCTTCATGTCATCTGACCTCTTTGGTTGCTTCAAATGTAGTTTGTCCAGTTTACATAACACCAAGAAGATGTGGTATTTTATCAAAATTCTGTTTAAAAAGAATGAAAATCAAGTTAAAATTTTAAAACAATTTTCACCCAAAATTTAAGTCTTCCCCTTTTTAAATCCTATAAATTTTAATTTTTAAATTTTTCTATGGGGTTTGCCATGCTTTTAATTTTGAAAGTCATTCCCAAAAAGGGGAATTTTATATAAAAAACAAAAAAATTTAAACTAACCAACAGTAACAGAAAACCCCGGGGCAGAAAACCCCAAAAATTTTTTCAGAAAGGGGCCTTTGGGTTTCCCCTTTGGGTTTCAAAGCTAATCCTAAAAGGGTTTTTGCAGGTTTCGGGGAAAAACAAAAAAAAACCGAGATACCTTTAAAAATCTTTGGAAAAAAAAATTTCAAATTCCCCTTTATAAAATTAAATGTTCCCTTAAATACAAAAAATAAAGTTTTTTTTGTTTTTAAACCTTTAAAAATTTCAAAAAAAGTTCAGCCCAATTTAAATTTTCAAAAGGGCACAAAATTTAAGGGGGTTAAAATTTAAAAGGGAAAAACAAAGAATTTTTTTAAAAAATACCTGTTCAATTTAACAAAGGTCACTTTTTTTCTCCGATTCTTTTCACTTAGACGGGCGTCCTCCTTGAAACGTCTGTAAGCTGGGCTAAGCATTGGGAAAAACTGACGGGTTAGACTAGCTGCCCGTAAACCCTTTTAAAAAAAAAAATTGAAATGGGTTTTTTTGAAAAGGTTTTCACCTTTTTCATGTTTAAATGATGAATTCTGCTTAAGCCGGTGCTAGGGGGCATGGACAGTAGTTTGCACTTGACAGTACCGTCCATGAACAGGCTTAATCAAATGGAGCCTGCAACATATTCAATTTTGTTGTTTTGGACTTTCTTTGGGGATTCCTACTTTCTCTATGTTATACTTTCTATAAATATTTTCATAGCATTATGGAAATAACTTTTATTTTAGTTCATAATCACTAGACCATGAAGGAATCTTTAATATTTACCCTGTTACATAACTGAAACCTACCCATGCAACCTGTGCAGGACCTGATCAGGCTGGTATAACTGTTTGCTGTCTGATTTGGTCTCACTGTTTGCATATTCAGTGTGGTTAAGGTGCAAAACCTTCAGAGAATGTTTTTTAATTGAATTGTTTCTTCACATTTTTGTATTTAAAAGTTTTTTTTACTTTTAAATCTCCAATTAAAAATTTAATATGCCAATGAAACACATTTCAAAATATTGGAAAAATTCTAAATTTAATATTTTGGGAAATAATCCATTTTAATTGGAAGGAAAAATGATCATTAATCAAAGTCTCCACAATATTTCCCAGAACTCCAATTCATCTTTAAAATATGTGGAGCATTGCCTTTTCACACACTAAAAAGAACTAAAACCAGAAAATATCAGTGAAAATTAAAAGCAAAAAAAAAATTTATTATTTTAATCACATAATCTGAGATTTCAAATACACAGATGTTCCATTTGTATCAAATATTACAATGTTTTTACTTATCTAGGCATGTATTCTCTTTGTCAAAGTATAATAGTAACAACATCACAGTTTATATTACTCTTCTCAAGTTATCTATAGAACTGATTTAAACAGTTCCGACTATCAAGCCATGTAAATCATTAACAGTTACTTTCAACCTAATTTTCATTCTTACTTGTCAAAGTTTTGTGGGTTGTGTTTTTTTCTCTCTAAAACACATAAAAACTGTCATATCAAAATTTGAAAGCTTTGTATTCTGAAATTCTTGGAACTTTCTTGTGGCAAAGTCAACAGTTATTTTTAAGACATAACCCTTTCTACAAGTATCCCTTTGAGTAACTTGTAGCAGACTCATTGACCTTCAAGCTAAATTCGTTATCAACCAAATTATACCTATTCAAACAGTATTAACAATGACTTGATATACACATTTAATACTAATTTGAGTTTATTTATCTTATCATAATTAAAAACCATTATCATTTTGTACCAGTACAGTAATTATTTTAGCAAATATAGAGAACTTGACAAAATTTGACCTACTTGAGACTTTCAAGGTCACCTTCATCACCCATCATATCCATGGCGGCCATATTGGACTCAGGACTCTGGGAAAGCAAGGAGGAGGAGTTAGATGACAGAACTGTTGTGTTCTCCTGGTAAGTCTTAAAGGAAAATTGAGGCCCCATCCAGAGTCGTCTATGAGGCCCTGCATGGGTGATTATCTCAACCTGAAATTAATTTGGGAAAAGTTCAATTTGATATCTTCTTATGTATTTATATCTAACTCTGCATTTTATTTAAAATCATTTATTTTTGTAAGAATGCAGTTTCCTAACAGTAAATTACATGAATAAACAAACAAAAAGGAAGTGTTACTATTTTATTCTTGTGCTCCAACTGCAATGCCCTATTATTATGCAATACTAAATAAAGAGATATGAATGGACAAAGGGAAATAACTTTGGCAGTGTTAAGCCAATTATTTCAAACCACACAAATTGCATTTTCAACAAAATTCTCAATAACTGAAAAAAAATACTTCTGTCAATAACTGGAAAAAAAAATACTTCTGTTAAAATACATTGTTCACATTTCATTTAGAATATATAAAACTACTTTTTTGTTTTGTTGGGTTTAATTTGCATCCACTCTTACATGGTGACAATCTAGCTCGGGTTCCAGTTTGTACATTTGTGCACCAGCAGACACCTATATAAAACCACCAACCTTCCATAAACCAAGTTGAAAAGCTTACAGAGTTAAAGACTTAATATTCAAGTCATTGACAAGGTTTAAACTTACAGATATGAGGGGCACTTTAGTCATAGCAAACTACCTAAATCACTAAGCCATGGAGCCCCTCACCAACCACCCCCATTCCCCTCCCTACAAAAATTCTGGTAATAAATATACTTCAGCGAGAGTAAACTTAGTCTTTTTGTGAAATAAAGACAAGATAATTTTTAAATTTACCTGTGAGAGCCATTGTTCATCACTATCATCTTTACTACTATGTTCCGATGATAAACTGTCCTTGGAGTCCTGCCTTGTTAATCCAGGTAAATCATACAAATCTAAAAAACACACACACAAACTTTTATCATTCTTAAAGATCCTGTATGTTATAATTTAGGATGTAACCACACATATGTATATAATTATGCTTCTACAAAGATTTTTAAACATCCAAGGATATGTAAAATATGTACTGCAAATGTTTATAGCCATAATATGTAATCATTAAAATATATGCATTCATTTCTAATTGAAAAATTTGTCTTAGACTTTATAGAAATAAATTTCTAATTACCTCCCTTTATTTACATGAAATGTAAAATGGTAGTATCTTTACAAATAATGCGTTTTGGAACTTACAATATTGATCAATGTTCATTTGAGCAGCATATATATAAAACAAATCCATGAAAAAAAAGAGTTAAAGGATCTTTAAATTAAACTGAAATCTTGAAGCTTTCAAAAAAAAAAAATGAGTAAGAAAGAAAAGCTGAAAGGACACTTTATTCAAACGAATTGAGAAACACATCCTGCACCCAGAGTCTGACTTTCCTCTAATATTCTAAAATAACTGCCCACCATTAAAAAAATTGAGTTCTACTTAAACAGATGCACATACTTTGTCAAAAACAAGTTTCTTTAGAGATTTTTTTGTAAGTTTATCATAGGCATTAACAAACATCAATTTTAAACAGAAGGAATCAGGAGAAAGCAATGTTATTACCTGGTGCTGTAGGAATTTGTGATACCACAGCCTCATGTGACAATATCAGGGGACTGTTGCTAGGCAACGGTGGTCTCAACTCTGGGGAGTTCTTCAGTCTGAAGGTAAAAATGTACAATCCAATTTACATAGAGGTTCTCCTTAAGAAGCATCTACAATTCTGCTTGTTCAGAAAAATATTGAAATTGTGCAGATTACTTCAAGTGTATTTTGTTGTATGTCATTATCTTGTTTTACTTGTGATGATTACCTGGACACATATAAGAATATAAACACTGAACTTTTGGACCAATTATATACTGACAAACGCATTTTTGGCCTTTTTCTTTAGATTTTCACACATTTGATATTGATGCATTTCTAGACCATCTGCCACTTATTCATTTCTTTTCAACAATAAAAAATATGTGATTCTCATGATTCAAACAAATTTGGAACACAATGACGTAAATACAATAGGAAAAGTTCATGCACTGTACAGTATTTAAACGAAAGCCTCCATTGTACAAACTCACATTACAGACTAGTGAGCTAAAAAAAGAATCTGTAATACAGTTATCAGAGGATGTATTTAATCAAATTAAGGAAAGTGTGAACTCATATGTAATAATCATTCTTTTTCTTTTTCAACAATTAAACAATACCTTAACTACAGTAAATTCATTTATGATGAAAATAAACAATACCACCCTGGCAAATATAACAATCTTTAATATTGCAAACATTTTGCTCACCTCTGCAGATTCCATTGCATTCGTCCGACCACATTCAGTTCTAGAAGACAGTCATCTGTGACTTTATCACTGACAGATTTAGCTCTCGGTTCTAATACATACTCGACTAGTGTACCAGACTGGGCCATCACAAACAACGAGTCAACAGGCCTCTTACCTCCATCTAACAATAAAATATCATACATGATAAATTATATTATACTAACATTCTACTTCATAATAACAATAAATATCTAATTCTGGTTTGACCTTCACAATGACATTTAATTAGCTTATATAACAAATAACTATGAATTTCAAAGTAAACAAGACGGCCATGATGGCCCTGAGGTCTCTCACCTGTATATAGCCACCCTCCCCCCCTGGGGCGGGGCCAATTTTTACCCAAGGGCTTTTATTTGTTTATTTGAACAGACTTGGTAGACACCCATAAGAATATGTTTCATGCTAAACATCTAAGTTCTAGCTCATTGGGTTTTTTAAAAGAAGATTTTTTAAGTTTTTACTATACACATATAGTTAAAAACAATGACACCCCTGGGGCTTTTATTTGAACAAACTTTGTAGAAATTTACTAAAAGATGTTTCATGCTTAATATCTAAACTCTAGCTATATAGGTTTTTTCAAAGAAGATTTTTAAGTTTTTGCTATACACAAAAAAGGAAAATCAATGACCCCCGGGGCAGGGCCAATTTTGACCCGGGGGGCTTTTTTATTTGAACAAACTTTGTAGACACTGATTAGAAGATGTTTCATGCTTAATATCTAAACTCTAGCTATATGGGTTTCTTCAAAAAAAAGATTTTTAAGTTTTTTGCCATACACATAAAAGGAATATCTATGACCCCCGGGGCGGGGGCCAATTTTGAACCCAGGGCTTTTATTTGAACAAATTTGGTAGACACCCATTAGAAACATGTTTCATGCTAAATATCTTAGCTCTAGCTCTTTGGGTTCTTTAAAAGAAGATTTTTTAAAGTTTTTACTATATGCATATAGGGAAAATCAATGTCCCCTGGGGCGGGGTCAATTTTTGACCCAAGGGCTTTTTTTTGAACAAACTTGGTAGAACACTCACTAGAAGATGTTTAATGCCAAAATATCTAAGCTCTAGCTCTTTGGGTTCTTTAAAAGAAGATTTTTTTAAAGTTTTTACTATATGCATATAGGGAAAATCAATGACCCCCCTGGGGCGGGGCCAATTTTGACCCCAGGGCTTTTATTTAAAACAAAACTCGGTAGACACTCACTAGAAGATGTTTTAATGCCAAATATCTTAGCTCTAGCTCTTTGGGTTCTTTAAAAGAAGATTTTTTTAAGTTTTTACTATATGCATATAGGGAAAATCTATGACCCCCTGGGGCGGGGCCAATTTTGACCCCAGGGCTTTTATTTGAACAAACTTGGTAGACACTCACTAGAAGATGTTTCATGCCAAATATCTAAGCTCTAGCTCTTAGGGTTGTTTAAAAGAAGATATTAAAAGATTTTTCTTTCGGTTGCCATGGCAACCAGAGTTCTGCATGGAATTAAATTCTTTGAACAATTTTTAAAGGTGACCACCAAAGGAACATTCCTGTGAAGTTTGGATGAAATTGGCTCAGTGGTTTATGAGGAGATGTCATTTAAAGCAAAAGTTTACGGACGGACGGACGCCGGACGAAAAGCGATCACAAAAGCTCACCCTGTCACTTTGTGACAGGTGAGCTAAAAATACAAGTTACCTGTTTCATTAGACAGGGTATGAAATAGCAAAATAGGTCTACACATAAAATACAAAAAAACATTTTTACTTCATTTCCTTCAGATTTTAGTCACACTGTATAGTGACTTTCAAGCTCCTCAAAATACTGAATTATAAGTAATATAATGCTTGCCAATATTTACATTAACAGGTGTTTATTACAAAACATATTTACCATTGTTGGATTTCATTTATATACTAAAATCCAATCTACAGACAAACAAGTTTCATCTATTGAAGTTTTGTTAAACATAATTTTCTCCTTTAAATAACCTTCACTTAAAGGTGCAATTTGCCTAAATCCTTTGTGTGTTGTCTGGTTTTTATATCAACTTTAACACAATTTTGGTCATATCTTGGTATTGCTCAGCCCACCTATTGGCCTTCCTGGACAGCTAATAAGAAACTACAAATTTTTCTGCAAGTGAACTACTACCAACCTCACATGATTTCTGAATCTAGAGGTGAGAGACAAATTGCCATTAGACTTACTGTTTGATGAGAAATTTCTTTATACTATCAAAATACCTACCTCTTCGTTCAACATCCAGTTTAGGTGAACCAATTACACACAGTCTGGGGGTACAGAACTTTGCACACACACAATAAACATTATCAAATCCCGTGGGGCTGTGACTAGGACTCTGGTTCTTGTTTCCTGGGTTCAGGGCGACGTTTAGTGGCTGTTTTACTTGGAATGTTGGGTATATGGTGATGGGGTGGGGATAAGGTGGTAAACGTGGGTTGCCCATGTTGTTGTTCAGGGTATTTTGTTGAATCAGTGTGGGATACCTGTCATACTGCCCTGTTTAATATAGAACAAGAAAGTTTAGATACAGGTTAATTATAGCTAGAATTACAAGTAATTTAGTCCTTTGATAGCATTCTATTTTCTTTCCACTCACTTTATAGTAAATTGATGTAATGTACATCCAGAGTTGCCCCATGTGGGTTTCAGGGATTTCAATATCAAAATGATCATCTAATAGTAAAAAGTTTGGTTAGATGGACAGAATTCCAGGTGCTAAACTTGGTACACGCACAATTTAGTTTTTGATTGTGTAAGAAGCTATATAAACCTTATAAACACACTATCAAATCCTTTCCTGGAACCAACCAGTATAAAGAAATGTGTATAAAATTTCTTACTAAAGGAAACAACGGCTATTTCCTTACAGGGTTTGCTGTAAAAATACTGTACCAGGCAATTCTCTGATGATATAAAAGATGCAATCAGATTATTTTAATTTTCTATCTGTAATGCAATATAACAAAAACACCACTTAACTTGTAACTAGAACTATCACTAAATGTGATTAATACCCCCACAAGACTGCTTCGGAAATGAGGATGTTACTAGTAACAGAATACCTTGTAAAAGAATTGAAATATAGAGTTATGGTTGTGGGCAATTAAAGATAGTTGTGGTTCTTGTATATTGCATTTCCTTTAAATGTGGCTGACCATTGAGGAAGTTTTATTGAATTACTCTGTAATAAATCCAGAAATACAAAGAAAAGGAACAAAGGGCAATAACTCTATAAATACTGAAGATGGAGTTATAGTTCTTGTGCACTGCACTTCCTCCCTCTTTTTGTGCTTGACCATTGTATGAAGTTGTTTTGAATTTCAACCAGTACGTTTTAAGTTATGCTCCAGACAAGGAAAAGTATCAAAGGGCAGTAACTCTGTATTTTGTCAAAATGGAGTAATGGCTCTTATGCACTGCACTTCCTTTTAATGTCCTTGACAACTGTATGAAGTTGTATTGAATTCCAAACACTAGTTTTCAAGTTATGCTCTGGACAAGGAAAAGTAACAAAGGGCAATAACTCTGTAATTTGTCAAGATGGAGTTATGGTTCTTGTGCACTGCACTTCCTCTCAATGTGCTTGACCATTGTATGAAGTTATATTGAATTCCAACCATTAGTCTTCAAGTTATGCTCCGGACAAAAAAAAGCAATGGAAAAGTAACAAAGGGCAGTAACTCTGTAATTAGTCAAGATGGAGTTATGGTTCTTGTGCACTACACTTCCTCTCAATGTGATTGACCATTGTATGAAGTTATAATGAATTCCAACCATTAGTCTTCAAGTTATACTCCGTACAAAAGAAAGCAATGGAAAAGTAACAAAGGGCAATAACTCTGTAATTACTTTAGATAGAGTTATGGTTCTTATGCACTGCACTTCCCCTTACTGTGTTTGACAATTGTATGAAGTTGTTTTGAATTCCAACCAGTAATTTTCAAGTTATGCCCCGGACAAGGAAAAGTAACAAAGGGCAATAACTCTGTAATTAGTCATGACAGAGTTATGGTTCTTGTGCACTGCACTTCCTCTCAATGTGCTTGACCATTGTATGTAGTTATATTGAATTCCAACCATTAGTCTTCAAGTTATGGTCCGGACAAAAGAAAGCAATGGAAAAGTAACAAAGGGCAATAACTCTGTAATTACTTTAGATAGAGTTATGGTTCTTGTGCACTGCACTTCCCCTTATTGTGTTTGACAATTGTATGAAGTTGTTTTGAATTCCAACCAGTAGTGTTCAAGTTATGCCCTGGACAAGGAAAAGTAACAAAGGGCAATAACTCTGTAATTAGTCAAGATCGAGTTATGGTTCTTGTGCACTGCACTTCCTCTCAATGTGCTTGACCATTGTATGAAGTTATATTGAATTCCAACCATTGGTCTTCAAGTTATGGTCCGGACAAAAGAAAGCAATGGAAAAGTAACAAAGGGCAATAACTCTGTAATTACTTTAGATAGAGTTATGGTTCTTGTGCACTGCACTTCCCCTTATTGTGTTTGACAACTGCATGAAGTTGTTTTGAATTCCAACCAATAGTTTTCAAGTTATGCCTTGGACAAGGAAAAGTAACAAAGGCAATTACTCTGTAATTAGTCAAGATAGAGTTATGGTTCTTATGCACTGCACTTCCTCTCAATGTGCTTGACCATTGTATGTAGTTATATTGAATTCCAACCATTAGTCTTTAAGTTATGCTCCGGACAAGGAAAATGCAACGGATGTCTGGACCGACCGACCGACCACCCAACCGACCGACCAACCGACCACCGGGTGACTCCTATATACCCCCCCAAACTTCGTTTTTGGGGGTATAAAAAGGCACTGTCCAGTTTTAAATCTGGGAACAGTCCATTAGACACTTTGTGGGATTTTAATAACAAAATACTAATGGTCAAATATGTATATACCTGAAGAGCTTGGACTAGTGGACAATACTGGACTTCTCCGGCCAACACTGTGGTCAAACTCATCCAGACCAGCACTCCGGTGGAATCTACTAGCTCTATTTACTACATGAGGTTTACAGTGGGTCCGAATGTTAACTGATCCTAGTAGACGAAATAAGATGGTAAAAAAATTGTAATATTAAAAATGAAATACTTTTAAACAGTTATAATATGCCAAGTACAAAAAAGCAAAACAAGAAATAAAGATAAAATTAGATGGGTTAAACATGTGTGTAAGATGTTTCAAGGGATTTCTATTACCTCATTTAATAAATTTTCTTAGTTAGGTATGTTTTTACTTTTGAATATAATATTTTCTAAAACAATGTTTTTTATAGACATAAATTTTAGACCTCTGAAACTTTCTTTCATACATTATCAGATAAAACAGAATTTATCAATGACAGATACATCATTAGATTTTCAATTTCTCTCTTTTCTTCTTTTTAACACCCATAACAGTTTCTTATGTCAATACAATAGATGTTTTTTTGGAACTTGGCAAATGTGGGATTTTTCATGCTAATCCCCTGGTACAAACAAACTTTTACCGTTATAGCTTCATTATAGGTGCACTACAGGTCACAATAGATAAGTCAACCTATTGCGCTTATTTTCGAAGCTGTAACTGTAAAAGTTTGTCTGTACCCTGGGATTAGCTGGGATAAAAACCCAAATATTCTTAATTCAGGAGTAGGTCTATTTCAGGCACTATGTAGAGAAAACTTACCCCCGTATGGTGTGATAGGAAAAAGATGAGTGGTTCCTCTATGTGAGCTTACTGTGATCCATCTACTGTCATGATTAAAACTTATGTCAATAACCTGTAATTATATAAATAAACAACGTCTTATGTTTTGGTATTTCAATAATGTTACATAGTGTGCAAAACGTCATAAATGATGTCAAAATAAATATGTCAAATTTATAATAAATAAATGTCAACATAAATGATAGCATACAGGAAGGTGATTGCAAATTACACATGTTGATCATGTGTTTAATTTATGATAATTATCAATACATCAATAAGTTATATATAAGTAACATAGTGCGCAAACATCATAAATGATGTCAAAAGTAATACAGGAAGATAACTGAGAAATTACCCATGCAGATCACATTTTTAATCTATGATAGTAAATGATACATTAATGGGTTAGAAGTCTATGTTCATTTTGTAAAATGGCAAAAGTTATATATTGAATGAGCATGTCGAATAATTAGACTAATATTTAATACATCTAAATTAACTTGCATTATACTAGGTATTCATCATCAGTATAAAACCATGACTGCATATACACCCATATATAGTTGACCATACTAGAAATTTTTCTCCTAAAACAATATATATTTTGTACATTCTAAAAAGACGTCGAATTGACAATCATTATTAAGTTTTCTTTCCATAGTAATTGATAACAAATATGAAACAAAACAAATAACTTAACAATATATATTCTTAAATGTGCAAAACACCACAACCCAAAATATAGAAGAAATAAAAGGACCAATACCTTTGCAGTTGTCTCCCCTCTGTGTAATGTATATAGATGATGTACAGCCCCTAGTGAAGAGCTCACAGGATGTGCCATAAGTCGGAACACATGGAAATTGTGTCCTAGCTTACAGGCTGTAACAAGCAGGGTACCAGTCGGATCAAAAGCCATATTGGATACCGGCTCATTGGCATGTGCATGGAAGTGAGCAATCAGCCCATCCCCCTCATTGTCTTCATTCACATTAAACTGAAAAATACAAGACAGACTAACATGCCATTATTTGTTGTAATAGAGACAACAGTCACACAGTCAACCTTTAGCTAAACAGTATGGTAAATTTTAGACAATTGCTCAATTGTTTTTTTAAGACTCTTCAATGAAAGCTTTTTTGCTATGCTAAATCATACCTTATGTGGCAAAAACAAAAACTCACAATGATATAGTAGATTTACTGAACAAAAATTAACAATAATCATCTTCAGTTAAAAGTTACAAAAGTATTAAGAAATCTGAAAAAAGTAGATCCAACAATGGCAACCAAAACAAAAGTTGAAAGGTGAGATTTATAGATTCAGTTTAATTCTAATTTTAAGTCTTTTCACAGATCAATTACATCTTTTTACAGTTTAATTAGGTCTATTCACAGTTCAATTACGTCTTTCCACAGGTTAATTAGTTTTTTTTCATAGTTTAATTATGTCTTTTCATAAGAAACAAAGTTATACATGTTATATGCAACATCTCTCATACCCCTTATCATCAGCTTAAACACCATGCAATCTACTAACAGTAAAAGAAATGGAATCAATGACCCTGAAGGACTAGAAAAGTATAACAACAATGGTGACTTTCAACAAACCCGATGTTGCTGGAAATAAGGACTTACGTGGTCATTATGAATGTTCTGTATATCTACAACTGTAACAATACCCGGCCGGTTCCCGTTATCTAATGTTACACAATCCCTCTTTACTGGCGACGGCTTACATCCAGTAACAGAACTAACCATTGCCTCGCCAAACATTGATAATCCTTTAAATGCTCCCTGAAAATAAATATCATAAATCAGTATCAAGTTTCAAATAGATTTACTTGGCATCTTTGAACAGGAATGGAACAGTTTGAATGGCAATTTGATATTTCAGTATCAAGTTCCAAATAAAATTCCTGGCATATTTGGGAATGGAACAATCAAAAGCCGCAATGCTATATTTGCTTAGAAATAAGCAACAAGCAAATGTTTCTTATTCCTTATAATCTGAAGAACATATAAATGATAATGAATGAGTGTAAGTTCTATTGTGAAATTATTGAACATGTTGAATAAAATTGCATTATGCCAGACTCTGGAAAAATATTATTTTATTCAACAAGTCCAATAAATTCAGTAATAAACTTACACAAATATAATATTTTATTTTTCACTTACGGGAAATAAAGTGAAAAAGAGTCTTTTTTCAATGACAAGTCTATAATATAACAATAACATTTTGTGTATGTTTTTTTTTTCAAAAACTCTTTACACTATGTTTGTATATGCAAAAGACGTCACATCAAAATACATGCAAGTCTGAGCTATAACATTTTTGGGACTAACAAAAGCAGCACTGGTATGTGATATGAAATCTTTGCTTTTGTTGCACAATTTGTGATTAATTTATATGAGAATGACTGGAAGTGCTACAGACATCATCTTTTGTTGAAAATACTTAGAGTCTGATCTAATGACATTATAAAAGCATATATAAATTACAAAAGTACACACAAAAAATTTAAATTTGCTTCTTGAAAATATAGACAATAAAATCTTTTACTTCTGCAATGTGCACTAGAGGAAGCTAGAACTTCAAAATATCTGTTAATCCTGAACTTAGCATTTTTTAAGGCTTCATATAGAAAACAACAGAGTTCCTGTGAGTTTAATGATCCTTAATTCAGGATACATCCTATGAATTTTCTCCCTCCTTCCCTTGATAATTTTAAGACTGCATGATTTTTCTAGATTTATGATATAATTTCTGTATTGAAACTGGTACCAGCAAGATGTTTACCTTAGCAGCACTGATAACTGTAGCAGCATAGGACTGGGAACCATCCCCTGACATTCCTCCACAAGACTGATGCATAGGAACCAACTGTAAATTAATACACACTTTTTAATTACTGTGTAATTGAGTATTTACTTATTTCTTTACTGGGCAATAATGACTTGTCTATACCACCTATATAATGCCAGGCCAACCTGCACAATAGCAGAAGCCAGCATAGCTCAATCTGCTAGAGTATGAGACTTGTAATTTCAACATTATGGGTTCCATTCTCAGGTTGGCCAACAAAAATTACTAATCAGTCTTTCTGACAAAACTTTAAATTGAGGTTTCCTGTATGGGTGCTTAAACACTTGACATGCTAAAGAACCAGGGAGAAGCTTCTTGAATTGGGGCATCTTTCTGTATCTTGCACTATCCTCCAAAAATTTTTAAATGACAAATTCTCTTCTGGAAGACTCGCACACGTGGGCAACTGGTGGCAAGTATAAATAAACTCAAACACACTCACACATACATGAGTAGTATGACAAGACTCTGTACTATTGGTTGATAAAGTTTAGTTTTTTTATATTGACATCCCACACATTAACAGTACAGCAGTATAGACAGTATATAATTAAAGAAATACATATATATTTTTCAAAAATTAGGCATAGTTATACAAAAGGCAAAACTGTATAAAAAAGATGCTCCGAAATAGAAATATTTTAACTTCACAACATGATTATCATAATTCATAAAGATAAGGTAAGAACTAAGGAAAGACATTTTTACCCAGGGTAAACCAAACTGATGTTTTGTTTTTTGAAGAATAGTTTGTTAAACTTCAAGTACACACAGCCATCTTTGAAGCGATGACAGATTGCAGTGGTAATTACATTCTAGATTAACCCTAAATATGTAAGCACATGTCAACACTCTGACCAGACCCTTTAGTACCAGCCATTCAGTTGTATTAGTTTGATACTGAAACCCCTTATATTACTAATGGACTGTTCAGAATTCATAGCAGGACAAGTCTATTAGAAAAGATTCAGTAGGGTTGGGGCTAAAATGTTGACGCTAATTGACTTTTTGAAAAAAAAATCAGAAACATCCGTGAACCAAAAGTAAATAGACTTACCCTTTTATCAGCATATGCTAACCATCTTGTAGACAAGGCTATAGGGTTCACTGTAGGACCAGAACAGGGATAACAGCCTGAAGTAGATTAATAGCAAACTTTACAACTGTTTGTTTTCTGGTTTTACACCAATTCTACATGTTCTAACATCTTTTTTAAGACATGTCTCAGTGGCTGATTCATTTAACCAGCATTCCTGAATAACTAACCATTAACTACTGATTTCTGTGCAATTGACTGAATCAAAACATATAAATCATCCCTGAGGCAATGTAGTATAAACTTTAAGCATATTTGTCTGTGAAAGGAGCATAATTTTTTACAAATCTATGGATTGTTACCAAATATTTAACTCAACAAATGTTTTGATGTAACTACATATTTATGTCATATGAAATACAACCATTTTGTTCTAAGCCCTCAAAATACTAATTTAATCAATGATTAATTTCAATAGGCAATGTTATTAGGGTTGTCACATTTATCCGTTTAAACAGGTTCTGTCGGTTTTTAACCATAAACCGGTTAGAGCATTAAATAACCAGAAATAGAGATTGGTATAAGACCAAATGCTGAAGAAATTTTAGATTGGGTTTTAACATTACCTTTGTTTCTTTATGACAAGATATGACATTTTGTTGAATTTCAAATGTTTTTTCCGATTGCATCCTTATCTTATCGACTTATTGGTTACTGTACAATTCTAGCGAACAACAGTTTCTCCATAATCAGATATGTTTTGTAAGAGTTGTCGAGTATAACAAAATACTTTCTTACCAAAGTTAATGTTTAAAATCTAGTAATAGTTTTAGTACCGTCATTTTACACAGTTATTATGTCACCTTTTAAATAGTTAGCATTTTTGATGACAGTGACACCCCTAATTGTTATTCGTTGCATTCTAGTATATGTCCAATATAGATTTTGAGCAAATAAAAAAAATCAATTAAAACAATCAACAAACTTGTGATCCAGAACAACTGTTGAAATGCACATGTTTCATACACACAAACTTTCTCCAGAAATATGTTAACCAGGAACCTGAAAGAAAGATAATACTTATAACATATTTTCAATCAAAACATTTCTTATTTCAGGACTTTTATGAAAACATTTTATTGAAATATTGTGCTAGTTATTACACTAAATTGAACAAATTAAGTGAAAATATAACCTTGTTACCACACTTAATTGAACAAATTAAGTGAAAATTTAACCTTGTTATCACACTTAATTGAACAAATTTAGTGGAAATGTGACCTAGTTATTTCACTAAACTGAACAAAGTAAATGGAAATGTAACAATTTGGAATTTAAAGACAGAAGACAATAGAATTTTCTTTAATTCTAGAACTTGGATATCTAAATCCCAAAACCTTACAGATAGACAGACTGTCAAAACAAGTCCATTACAAAGTCACACTAGAGTAGGCGTAGATTACTTTTATTAAAATATTTATTCTATACCTCTTATTACACTCTATATTCTGTACAGGCAGTGTTTTGTAGCTAATGCTATGCACTTCATCCCCAGTTTTCAACGACACAAACTTAACACCACAGTATGGCTGTCCAGCACTGTAAACAAAACAAAAACAAAAAAATATTCGAATATTTATATAAGTGCAACATGATTACAGTATAGACATAGAAACAACAAAGGGACCTGGGATTATTGTTCCATAGTGTGGACACAACCAATGGACCAGCAATTATTGTTCCACAACCAAGGGACCAGCTTTTATTGCTCCATAGTGTGTAGACACAACCAAATGACCTGCGTTTATTGTTCCACAACCAAGGGACCAGTAGTTATTGTTCCATAGTCTAGCATTTAAAAATTTCATATATCATAGATATAGTTCTATATAATAATTTAATAGTGTAAAAAATCAAAACAAGCATTCAACTAATTTCCAATTTAATATGTTATATTTAAGAAATACAAGAATAATAATAATAAAATTCCCTTGGAGCACTAAAACACTCAAAGTTGAAAAGAGGATTCTACACAAAACTGTCATTACATTTTCTATAGTTTTTTTAGGTTTTATTTACATGTGTTGCATTAAAAGTCATAAGTATTATCACCATACAGACTGAATTAGTGTTATTTATTTACCTTGATGAGTCGCACATCACTATCAGTGGTCTCTTATGACTAAAACTGTCACCATTACCAAGAACTGAAATATATATAATGTATATATTCTATAGTTATTAGCCATAAAGTACTGAAAAAAAACTGAAGGACAAATTAGATGATGGCAACACTGTCACTTAGTTATTTAAACAATTTAAACAGCTCAAAAGGAGCAATGAAAGAGTGACTTTATCTATTCCTTTGTTTTCAGCATCTTTCTTCGTTGTTGACCTACTTTCTTTATCCCAATAGACACAACCCTTGAAATGAATGGTTAAATAAATGCCCATAAGGACAGTATGCAAAATAATCCATCAGAAATTTTCAAATTTAGGCTTTCTCAGTATGCAAAATAGTAGTGCAAATAGATCATGTTTATTTTGAAGGGACACTCTTAACACATACACTGATACAGAGGAAACAGCATCAAGGACTAGTCTGATACCAGGCTTATATGTGTACCTGTTTATATTTTATCATTTTTATTTTGAAACCCCTCATGATATTGATTGACAGTTTCGAATCCACATAAGAAAGTCCATAATTCAAAACAAGCAAGCTGCAAGGTAAGGGAAAGAAAAACTTCATTATGTGATAAATCATTTAAAAAATAGTACAAAGCACTGAAGACCTTAAAGCATTATAGTGACCAATCAGTCAGTCTGCAAACATTCAATGGACCGAAGACGAAATTTGTTCAATATTCGGGGCTGACTGGGAGGTCACTACAATGCTGAGAGCAAATTGTGTTATCTGTTAACATAGACCTGTAATTATTTTTACTAGCATTTGGACTTAACATTAACCCTTACAACACTATATATGTTAAATGATCTTGTCCATCTTTCCATCTGGACAAAATCATTCTGACATGTTAAAGGAAAATGTACTGAATGAAAAGTGGACAGTGCAGACGATGATCAGATGACACTTGTAGCGGCTGATCGTGGTCTGCACTGGTTGCATGGGTAGAATCTGTTACCTTGAGCAGGATAAGAGTTATAACACATTAAAATAACATTGCTATAACATTACCTGGATCAGGGTTGGGTAAGATCCGGCAAATTCTGACAGGCCCCTGTCTCATAGACAACACTTCTTGTGCCTCTCCATTTGGCTGAAGGAAGAAAGTCAAAATTAACATTTTTGATCAATAAAATAAAGACAGAAACATGCATCATAAAATGCTTCAGGCAAAGACTTTACAAGATCTGTTTTACAAACATAAAAAAAAAATATGGAAAACTATGATAAATATTCAAATAAAGGTCATGTTTCATTTCTTAACAATCTTACATTTCAAAAATCTATCAAATGAAGAAAGTTATCTCAAATTAGAACAAGTGCTGTTGGTATGTATGACAGCATGCTCAACTACTCTCAGAGCTTGATGGTAAAACAAGAGTCTGGATAATGTAGAATTTTTCAAGTTGAAAAAGTCCATAATTCTATCAAAATCCATGTTAGAGTTACGGGCCTTAGACCATGAACTTCTACTATGCTCTCAAATGAGTGTGTGAAAGTAACTTATTCCTTTCAGTATTTTGAAATACCAGCTTGCATGCACCCATTCCTTTCAGCATTTTGAAAAAACGAACTTGCATGCAAAAACTTAACCAAAATGCGGTGCCAGAGCCGGGTAAGTTCAATAGCTCTCTCTATTATTTGAATAGTCAAGATAAAAATCATGTGAATGGCACGAACCAATACAAACATGGATATCTTTATGTTCATAAATTTAATTCTGATTATACATAAATTATGAAACTCAAAAACACTGAAATAACCATCAATTATTACATAACACTAACTATGATTTTATTGGAAACATTGAACATAATATTAGAACATAATAATACATTACATATCAGTAATAACATGAAACTTAAGCTAATCCTTAAAGATAAGCACATCTTTAATGCTGTCCCGTAAGTAATTGGGGAATAAAAAAGCTTATTTCTGATTTCTTCAGACAACCTTTGCTTCCACTATGACCTGTCAAATATCTTAAATATTTATCTCATCCTTGTTCATAAGATTTCATTTGTTTTAAATTTTCATTTCTGTGTAACATATGATGTATACTTACAGTGACATGCCATATCTGTACACCATTACTGTAGCCAAGTATAAGAAGGAGAGGCAGACCTTTAGTGTCAGACCTAAACATATCAGGATTCTTGGCAACATCTGTAATAAAAAAGCCCCTTTTAGTGAGGATTTTATATAATAATACATAATTGAGCCGTGTCATGACAAAACCAACATAGTGGTTTTGTGACCCAGCATTGATCCAGACCAGCCTGCGCATCCGCGCAGTCTGATCAGGATCTATGCTGTTCGCTGTCAGTTTCTCCACTTGTAATAGAGTTGATAAGCGAACAGCATGGATCCTGATCAGACTGCGCGGATGCGCAGGCTGGTCTGGATCCATGCTGGTCGCAAACCCATTATGTTGGTTTTGTCATGACACGGCTCATATTATGGCAATTTTATGAACTTGGTTTATGAATTTGGAATATGCTAAATATTGAGCAATGGAAAGAATAGTATTGCCTGATTTGATTTATATCATGCATGTTTAATTTATATTTTAAAGATCCTGTAACTTTATTTTTTTTATGGTTTTATATCATAAATATGATGCTCAAATGAAGATTTATCAATATTGTAGGTTCGTTCCAAAAAGCATTATTTGTAAAGATATTAGCAAATATACATTTCATATAATTAAAGAGAGGTAATTAGAAATTTATTTTTGATAAAATCTAAGCAAAATTTTTCAATAAGAAATGAATGCATATATTTTAATGATTACTTGCAATGCGTATATACATTTGCAGTACATACCTAGCATATTCTTGGATGTTTGGAAATTGTTTTAGAAGAATAATTATAAATATGATATAAAATTTCACTTGTGTTGTTACATCTTAAATTACAACATACAGGATCTTTAAATGGGGAAAATGACATACCATTGCAATCACAATTTTCAAATCTGACCCACTGGATCTTCTCCCTATCTTCATTTTTCTGTGTTCCTGTATAAGCCTGAAACAAAATGTCATAAAAAATGGAGAATATTGAAATACTTAAGCTTTGGAAGGGAGAATGATGTTATAAACAATCCAATATTTTTCTAATATTATTATGTTTTATTTTTTGAAGTCGTTTGTAAATGTGTTTATTAAAAATAATGATAATACAATAAATGTATGACAAATTTACAACCATAGTGATTAATCAACAAAATGACGTGAAAATAGGCAAATCTGAATTCTTACTTTATATATTTTCATGAAAACTGGACACTTAATGGCTTTTTTCAACATTTCAATTTATGAATCTAATAATACCTTTAACTATGTAGTAATTGAAAATAGTGGAAACAAATTTCTATATATCTTGCTTTGGCAATATTTCTGTAATGGTAGCATATTTAATTTATGCAAAAGTAGCTTCTATTAGTTCTATGTTTGAATACATATACAGTTGTATCATCATACTACCAATGTATATATTTATAATTCTAACAGATGGAAATTGATATGAACTCATCCCAAATGAAATTATGACCAGGACTGTCAGGCGATAACTTCACCTTAAATCTCATTAGTTACTTCGTCCTAATTTACCTGAAAAGCAAAGTCCATTTAGACATGCCGTATGAAATAAAAACAAGTATATTTAAAATGACAAGCCAACTAGTCAAAAATCATCTGCTGTATTGGTAGGCAAATCATTGAATTATCATCTGTGATCAAGAAAAAGATTTACCTGTGGCACAACATCAGAGAAAAAATCCACCACACTTTCCATTAAAGACTTCTCACTGTAATGTATAAAAGAGTGTAATTATAGCACTTGATCAGATGATTTATTTGTATGATTTCACAGAGTTATCCCTTTAGATCAAGTATCTTGTACTAGCAATCAAGAATATTATCAGTCCAAAAATTGTTCTCTGCATAATGTGTTAAGTTAATTCTGATTTTACTGCAGATAATTTTTCATTCCCCAAAATGTTTTAGTGTTTTAACTGGGGCACACATTAACATAATGTCTTGTTTTTATTACGTTTAAATGTATGATGTTTCTTAAAATATTGGAAATCATTTTGATACAGTACTATCAACTGTCAGACAATTGTTATAAAGGATGAACTGCTGGTTTGAGTGACACAGATTGCAATAAAATACAAAATAAATAGTACATGTGAAGAGGCAGAAATTAACAAAAAAGATGAATCAATTCGTGCTGTTCATTTTGCTTACTTTAACTGGAAGTTTCTATAATGACTATAATCTGTATGGTGGCTGATTTGGTACACTTTGCGCGTTTTGTTGTCAATAGTGACAACACAACGTAGTGACAACCTATATCATTATCGCCTTTTTTGTCTTGTCGCAAGCAAAATGATGTGTTGTCGCACTGTTGTCTTATCGATAGCATTGTCGTGTGGCACATTGTTGCCCGGTTGTTTAGCTTGTATATACATACAAATAGCCAATTCTTCAATTTGAGCAGAGCAACAATATTACATCGCGACAACACGCTGCACGACAATGTGCCATATGGTGTGTTTCTTAGTGACAGGACAGAAAAGCGCAATTTGTCGCTCTGCAGTGCTGTCACTTGCTACAACACATAAAAGTGTTCCAAATCAGCCACCATAGTCCGGCCTGTTGGCTTTAGCGTAAGTCTGACAGGCATGACAATATTAATGAATAGCATTATTTATTTTAACAATGAAGTTGTTGGACTCTGAGATTTCTTCTTCTTCTTCCAATACTGTACATAACCCACTCTGGGGCATTGACATACATTTATTTAATGTATTTGACTAACAGGACATAGGCTTAGATTATATGGAGCTCTGGGTGTGCTAATTTGTATTTTATAAAAATACAGATAAAAGAATTAAAAAATGCAAAATTTGGCAAAAATATAATACTATGCTTTCTCTCTGACCAGTAAGCAGTAAGTTGCTCACTCACTTCTCAAGTAAATGCATGTGCAGGGTCTTTAACAGTTGAAACTTTAGGGATGTTGCCTGTTGGAGGGAGAATTAAGTTGAGGTGGAGACTGGAGGGGCTTTGAGGGCAATATAAACCCGATGTAATTTTAATCATACACAAAATTTGATGTATTTATAATAGCAAATTTGTTGTTAATGTAATTCATTTTGCGTTTGCAAAATTGATAAAACAGTAACGAATTTGCAAACAGTTGCATAAATGTAGCCAGGCAAATGGGGTGCCCTAAAGGGGAAAACAAAAAAAATATTTCATTTAAGGACGTTAATTCATCCCCAATACTAGAGTGTTCAAAATATAGAAACAATTAAATATATCATCAAATACTTAATAGATGAATGACATACCAAACATTTCATAATTAAGAAAAAAATGTGCATTATGGTAATTCAAATGATCAACTGATTATAATTCTTAAGTGTCACTATTTTTATTTCCTTTAATACTTTGGCAAAACTATTTTTATAAGTCTTTTCAGCGCAAGATACAAACTATACACGTGTGGGCAGGTCTTAAGAAAAAAGAAAAAAGAATTAAAAAAAAAAAATTAAATAAATTTCATTTCCTTTTAGCGCCTCTTTGTCTGTCAAAAACAGTAAACAAAGAAAAGGACATCAAAACTTTCGAAATATTTGCACCTTACCTGTATATTTGGGGTCTCATCATGCTGCAAGTATATTTATAGGCCTTCCTTGGTGGATCTGCTGACATTTTAGCCACTAATCTTTCAAGTATCACAGGAAAATGTCAAAAATAGACAATGTTAATTTTGTGTACTGTAGTCGCAAAAAGTGACGTCACCATTATAAGATCAGCGCTTGGATATTCCCGATAATTTGAACGTATCATACCGTACAATAATGCTACTTCAATTTTTGTACTTTTATATAAAAATTCTAGTACTTTAACCTTTCATTATTTATTTTATTTTATTTGAATAAATATTGTTTTCCAATATCATATTTTAATATCGTTTAACTCACTCTGTAAAGTGTTGGAGCAGTACCTCTCCTGTAGATGATTGCAAAAATCATGATCACAAAGCAGAAAATGCCGCATTTTCCGCCGATACTTGCTTTTTTATTCATTTTCGTATATAAATCGGTGTGAGCAGATGAAATAGAGTCTAAGAGTGCATTTCAGAGGCTGAAAAGATGAGATTTTAGCATTTAATCATTCAAGCGCCTTGTCCGGTAATTACCGGAAAACGGTATTAAGTGTATGCTCTCACTCAAGATTTCTTCTTTGTATTTCTTTATCTGTCATGGAGATGCATGTACATGTACCTAGACTTGTTTACTGTAAGAAATAAAGGAACAATTAAAGTTTGTCCTTTTGCTGTGTCACTTTGATTATTCTCCATCTTCTAGGTACGAAGGACTGAGTAAGACATCAAGTACATGTAGATGCGTGAGAACTTCTGTGACAAATAATGTTCTGTCATATCTTAAAATATTGAATGTCAGTGACATAGTTAGGCAGTTAAGACATTTAACTAAGTTCATAAAATATACTATAATAATACCCTTCTTATTTAAAGGACATGTTTAGGGATTAAATTAGAGACTACATTTTGAGATCTAGCTAGTAATTATAATTTTGTTTTGCCTCAATCTACAAACACATTTTTCTACAATGCCACAAAGACTGGAATTCTTTACCAGACAGCATTAGCTAGGTCAATCGAAAATATTCAAAAATTTAAAACGAAAGTTAAACTGCTTTTAAATTAAATAAATGACAAAAAAGTGAGTACTATATATTTTTATATTACTAAATTGATGTGTAACTTGTATGACAATGTTTTACATGTTGATTGTGTATTTGATAATGTATTAGTTATTTTAGTTTGATTGTGTCTCATTATATATCGATAAACTGATAAATGTGCCTTGATTAAATTGTAGTACAATGTTGGCAAAATTATTTCATTTATTTTAACTTCATAATAATTTATTTCTTTTATATATTTTAGTGTGTTGATATAACAGTAATTGACACCATAGGAAATAAGCTTGCCGAAATGGAAATAACATATCGCATGCTTAGTGTTCAACCATTATATACAGTTGGACAAAACGCTTACCTCATTTGATTACATCTGACGGCCCAAGTGGCAGACTGTATGATGGACAGTTCTTTTCGTCTTCTGTCTTGCTTCGTCGGACCCTTGTAAGTGATTTTCTCGTTGCTCTGTCTTCCTATTAGACATTGAGTAGTTTTGTTATGGTCATTTGGTTTACTTTTATATGTATTTCACTTGGCTGGGATTCATTTTATTTACATTGTCTCGTTTAAAAGGAACATGGTGGGTGTCAGAGTGAAGTTTGGTGCACCATTAACCGATTTAAACTCCCCAGCAGTGCTTAGGCTATGACCGTTCCAAGGCGGCGCCCCTCTGTGATCCTCATAATATGTCTTGTTGTTACATACTATTATGGTGACACTTTCGTGCCCTTTCTGGTTGTTTTTTCGTTGACGGTAAGTATTCTTTTTTGTTGTTCTTAAAATAAGTTTCCGAAAAGATTTCATTGGCCATAAACCGAAATATACTTTGATACTATCTTCTTGACCGCAATGATAATAAGCGTTTGTTTTATTTTATCTTGATATATAAGATGGCATACATCTTATATCTGTTTTTCTTTTGTTGTATGTTTTATAATGCGCCATGTTATTTCATTGTATATTAAAGTAACTATTATGTACTATCTATATACACTACGGAGTGAACAAATTCCCGCTACTTTTTGGCGCCAATACAAACTCATCCCATTCCCCTAATATTGCTGAGACATACAAAAGGTTAACTCTTTATCCCCCCCCTCCGCCCTCCACACACTGCCCGAGGGATTAAAAATGGGAAATGCATTACCGCAATTTTCTCCGTGTCCAGGAGAGAAAACTGGTGTTAAATTCTGTGCCTCATCAGCAGGTGTGACATACATGATATATCCCATCCACATAAGATAGTATATTAATTATATTTCTACCGTGGTATCTATATTATATTTTAACTTACTTTTGCAGTATGTGTTCAGCTTTCCTTGTTGGCCGACTGATATAGTTGTTAGTTCATTATTCAAGTGTCACTAAGCATGCGTGTATATTTCGCAAGGACTATACCACCTTTAAAACAAGAAGGTCACATTTGTGAGTTATTAATAACTAGTTATTAATTATCAATGGCAACACAACGCTTAAGGACTGCGCGCTTAATTAAGTAGTGGGTGGGTTCTTAGCTTCGAGGCCGAAATATTCACGTACATATAGTTAATGGCATAATAACTAGTTTTGTGGCATGTATTTTAAGATTATAGCTAAAGAAGTTTTGTATTTTTATACAATAACCGTATAAATAGGTTTATATGACAGCTTGTCATGATTTTCAGACGTCTGGGTCATTTCTCAAACATAGACAAAAATGTTATGAATTAAAAGAATGCACATCTTTGAAGACATATCTTTATCATGTTGACAATTATTTACAGAAAAAAGAAATCTCTGAAGAATCACTCAATTTGAAATACAAAATACAAGAGTTAAACTTGTATTTCCGTATTAATGTTGAGTTCAGTTATATATTTATTACAATTTACAATCACACCGTTTCCAATATTTTACAATGATTACAAATGCATGATGTGTTAAAGTATATTAAAATTGAAATTTCCGGTCCAATTAACTTTGTTAAGACATTGAACGTTAGAGATGCGAATAAAGAACACGCGATCTTGTCTTGAACACAAACATGCCGATCTATATACATGTAGACGATAGAGATATACAGCAATAAGTAACTGTCCTTACATCTTGGGTTTGTTCAAATGTAAATTGAATACTTTGATCGTGTCATCACCCCACATTGAAGAGACTATCAGCCTAGCCCTATGGAAATTATAGCAGACTGCTCTCGGTGCAACCAAGCCCTCTTTCCTTTCAAGTAATACTAAGTTGATTACCCCTGCTTCGTCGAACGACACAATTTCATTTCTTTGATGATGAGTTACACAAAGAAGTCCTTCTTTCAGACAGCAGACACCGCTTGGGTACGTACAGGCGTCGTGATTGATCTGGGAATTGAAACGCCCGTCCAAATCGAGAATTATGACCCCGTTGTAATGATCAGTGATGAATATTTTTGTTAAGTCGTAGCTGAGGCACACATACCTCGGCAACGAAATTCCACGCGTATAACAAGACAAATACGTCCCGGTTATACTGTATACGCCGAGATGACCTTGACTTTCCAATTCGTCGTGGTCATCCGAAAATGAGCCGCCGCAACAGATATAGAATAACCCCTCATGGTGCGTAATTCCTCGACAGATATCTCTCACTTTAAAATATTTCTTCAAAGTCATCTTATTCTTCACAGATATTATCTGAACCTTTTTCTTAGAACTTATAGTGACAGCTACCTCTTTCTTGTCAACTCCACATATTCCAAAAGGAGCGTCTAGAAGTTTTAGATATGCAGTAATGAAATAGTTTACGCCAAGTTTCTTCACAGATTTATTCTTTTCATCAGTGATGACTGTAATATCATCTGTAAGTTGACATATATCACTAATCTCGCATGTATGTTTCTCCTCGCTTTTCTTGATGTTGTAAATACCTTGTAAAGACACTGCTTGTACTCTGCAACGAACAATTTAAATAAAACAACAACGTAATTATATACATTGTAGATGGTATTTAAAAAAAGCGTGATTATATAGTTGATATTGAATGAGAAACGGTTCAATACTGAATTTATTGAACGAGTGGAATGCAATTACATGTATAATATGTGAGCCTGAACGAGTTCAATAAAATTAGTAATGTATATATATATACGAATATAATACCATATTTATCACATACCCGAATAAGAACATTTTCACAGTAAAAAAGAATCATTTTTTTCATTGGCATCATTACATTTAGCGTATGCCATAATTATATTATTGTCAGATACTTCAATATGCATTAGTTTTCAAATACTGCAGTTCACATAAATATTGTTCGAGTAAATACAACAATATCGCCTACATACCCGACTTTTGTAGAATCTTCCAAAGACTCTTCGTTGTTCACAACCTAAAATTAACATATTTTTTTATTATAACTTGAATACTGAATATGAGATCAATCGTAAGTAAGTTGCTTAACGTCAATTTAGCAGTTGCCGTTTGTAAATGTTTTTTATCATCAAAATAATCAACTTTTTTTTCGAGATTTCTCTCCTGCGCATCGATCCAATGTTTCACTTTTGTTCACAAGTTTCCTTAAAATGTGGAGTAACGTTAGTGCATTCACTGAACTACTAAGACAGTCTTAGCCTATAAGATATAAAAAATAACTTTTTATAATTCATTGCTAATGGACATAAGCACAAATATGATACATTTGCAAAATATGTCATATATTATGAATAATTTACAAAGTTAAACCGATGTAAACAAGTATGATCGTTAATTGATCTTTTAAAAAGGTTAAGATAATCTTACCGTTTTTGTATCAGTATCATTTTTATATTTTATAGATTCTTTTTCAAGCTTCATTTCCGTTTCCTTGACAATCATATCAAATGTTTCCCATTCCGTTTTAACTGTTTCCCTGGTATCTTTGTCAAATATTTTCGAATTTCTTGAATTTCTTGCATTGCTCGACTCTCTTTCCTTAATAATTTTCTCGATTATTTTCGATTCTCTGGTTGCTCTTTCTTTGACACATTTCTCAACAGTCTCCAGTTCAATTTTCTCTGGTTCACATCGTATTACATCATACTTCTCTATTTCTTGTCCGATATCTGGCTGGAAAATTGAAACCAACTTAACTGTTTGTAAAATCCTTAATTGATAGAATATTTATACCGTCAAACTTTCATTATATTGATATATATTGAATATCTATTAAAATACTTTGTGCAATGGATCGAGGTAATTGATAAAATGGCAAAAACATGGCAATCTTAAAAAATGGCAAAAACATGGCAAAACTGAAAATGCTGCAGGCTCGGTTTCAGTAGTAGTAAATGCTATCTTTAGATTACACCCACTAGCACCGGATTAAGCAAAAAATTAACAATTATATATGAAATAGGTTATATAATTTGGAACTTCATTTGCAAGATGTGTTTAGGTAAAAACCTTGAATTTGACAATACCATGCCATTTCATTACAAGCAGCACATTGTGCCAAAGTAAATGGATGCTTACAAGTGCCCTTCGCAAGGAAAACAAATAAGATAAAATAGAAAAGGTCGTACTTTTTTAATCGTTGATTCTGTGTCATACAGCTCCTCTTTAATTTGGTCGTCTAGTGTTTGCTCGGCTATTTGCTTATTTGTTTCATCCGAAGCATCTTTAAACCAGTTAAGGTCATTCAGAAACGTGGACTTGTACCGGAAATTAAACGCACAATGTTTGGTGTTGAGACATTTCATGGACATAAAACTTTCAGTCTAGATATCATTTTAATTAGGTTCTCATGAATCTATAGAACTTATGGAATGAACTATAGGAACAGCACAAGTCAAAGAACTTTTATATTCTCATTTACGTTAAGAACTGCGGATCTATTTGACAAAACCATGTTCTTTCCAAACTTTAAAAACAGACTATATAAATGCATGTACATGTAAAACAAACGCCTATTTTTTCGTAATGCTGATAGTAGAACTTTGATTTTATATATGCTGTAGAAGCGTTAAGACCCACCTTTCTAGCATCCGTCGTACTTAATTGACTTGTCGTACTTATACGACTTTCATTTGCCTTGCTCTTGTCTCTAATCTCAACATCCTCTTCATTAAAGTGATCCTCGAAAATCTCCCAGTTATTTCCAAACTTGGGCTCCTAAAACAAATCAGATACGAGTATATTGCCGTATCTGCTGTAAAGATTACATCGTACTTTCAATAGACAACCGCTAACATTTAAGCAACTTTTTAATGTGAATTACGGGCATAGTTAATGTTTCTAGGGTGGCCAACAGAAAACAAGTAAATGTATATGCTCGATTTGGCAAAATAAACATGCATCAATGATACTTAAATCACCACGAACATATAGATGATTTGACCATAAGGAATATATAAGTATAAAAATACACCCTGGTCAGCTCGTACTACCGATCTCTCGAACAAGTTTTCCTGGACACTCAAAGGTCAAGCAAACGATGTTCGACTGTAAAACTTTTTTTCAATTGAAACTGTCAAATAAGTGTACTTTTATTATCAGTTAGATCACAGATCTCACCAATCCGTGGTTAGATGTAACTGTGAGTTATCTAATTACTATTTCTCCGTACCAATTAAATAAGCACAAGGTAACTTAAAAAACAGTCCCAATTAAATCTATGAACTAGTTAATCCTTTTTTTTTATTTTAATCTTTTCACGAGTATGATATTTGCCATAACGATTAGAAAATAACTAAACAAATATCAACATTTGTAGTGTTCACGCAAAAACATGACGAAAAGAAAACTTTTGAGTGTGCACAGCACTGTACACTATCTCTTCAGTACAATTCCCTAAAAATAATGAACTGTTAATAGTCCTGATTAAACAAACAAACAAACAAACAAAACAAAACGAGTTCTTCTAAGATATTACCTCAAGGTGGTCACCGGCTTCCATATCTTTTACACTAAAATCTTCATTTAACAGTTTATATTGAAACTCCTCAACGTCCTGTAATCACCTTAAAAAATTACACATGTAAATATTGAAAGATGCATAAGGAACTTAAAACGCATATACGTGTTTAATCATAGGTTAAATATTTATTAAAATCTAGATTTTTTATTTGTAAAGAAAAAAATCTATAAAGAACACAAAACCGCAAAATTCGAAATATTGCAAGCTCGGTTGGGTTGCGCCTGTTTATGGACGGTATAGTAGCGCGAATTGCAATATACTGTCCACGCCCCCATGGCACCGGCTTATTTTAAGGATACTATTGACGGAACTGAAAATATAGTAAATGTACTTGTTGTATTTTTGTAAATTTTTTAACCATAGCATTTATCATATTGTTAAACTGTATATTAAAAAAAAAAGAAGAAAAAACAAACAAACAAACAACAAAAAACTGAAAGATAATTAAATGTATACTCACAATATATTACTTTATACGCATTAGCTCGAGCATTAATTAATATATGTTATAACATATAAATGTATTTTACTCTTTCCTTCATGCTATCATTTTTGTTTAAACATGTAAATTGTATTGTTTAAGATAAAACATGCGCATTAAGAAAACATTTAACTTCCTTCTCATTTTATTATAACAATATCATATTCTTTCCTTGCTTACAATTTTGTAATTTTCTTTTGAAAAATGAAAACAAAAGAAAACAATTATTCTAAACATAGTCACGAAATTAAGGTACATCCCGGTATCAGTAACTTCAACATCTTACGTCCGAATTTGACGGCAAAATTCTCTAACTGTTTATGGTTAAATGTGTTACAAATGTAACATATTCTGCGCTTAGCTAAACTTCGTAAAATCAGAGATATAGATTTCAGTATTCTTTATACCTGGTAAAACAGACATAAAATTAATGTATTATTTTAAAAGCGTTCTATAAAGACTGAAGATCAAGCCCGGGGGTAGGAGAATAAAGAAACTCACTGGAGTGGCGTTAAGCTGTCAAAAGTAATTCAATGAATAAACTCAAGAGAAAAAGTAGCAAATTCCATTGCTTTCCTTCTTACAGGTTTTTGAAACGCTCTGTGTTTGTCTTTTTGATTTTATCAACTAACTTTTATTAAAATCTTTGGTTTAAACATATTTATTTAAGCTCGATTGCGAAACAAGTTCTTGCAACTTCTATTAATAACTTTCGTGTCCGCTTCCGGGAACCAACCAGTACTGGTGTCATATGAAAAAACATGGTCGTTATCCGATTAGGGCTCGAACCCATGATCCCTGGGTTGAGAGGCAGACACTTTAACCATCACTAGACCACCGCTCCCCTTTATAATAATCGTCTTCAAACAGTTGCTCTAATGTTTAAATACCCTTTAAAGTGTAGAAAAAGGTTCAGGGTCCATTTTACACTTGTCAATTCTGCGTAAAAATTTGCGAAAAAATTTAATATGAAGCAAAACATCTTTATTGCTTTCTTCTCTTTACTCATTTTTTAGGACAAGCTTATGTGTGTCTTGCCAGCTCATATAGCATCCTCCTGGCTATACTTATAGGTTGATTAAAATGTTCGACGGTGATAAAGAAAAACGCCAGCATCAAGATAACTAATCTCTTCATGTCTAACTACATGTAATTATATATGTCCTAACAACAGAACTGGAATGAAATTGATAACTACGACTAAGGCCGGAGTTCAAGAGAATTATATTAATAAACCAATACAAAATACCGGTATAAAACATTTTAATAAAACAATTTCAACATTAAATAGAAACACAGCATTAATAAAATAAAGCGTTCCTAATTGCTCTAACACAATACTACAGATCCATTTTTCATACGGTGCTAGATTTATAAAAAACAAACAACAAAACACAACAAGGTAATTCATTTCTGCAACCAATATCAATATCATTCACAGATACACGTGTATAAGACTTCTATTATATAAATACATGTAATCTTTGCATAATTAGATATTAAATGCTAGCAGCAGTGACTCAAAGTGATCAGGTCAGCATGGCCTCCCACAAAGGTCATCATGGCCTCTTAATATTGCAGTATCTGCCAGACATACTCAGTACTGTTGGTAGTTAAATTTTACAATCATAATTAATGTTTGAATTTTCCTTTAAATTACCAATAGACATCTCTGGATGTAAAGTCCTTATCACAAAATACAACAGAATTACACCCAAATTTGTGAATCAGACTACTCCTGCCATCATCTTGGGAATGTTCATAGTTTATATAAGGAGTTTCAATTTCAAAAAGTTAAATCAGACTGCACAGAACGCACAGGTAGGTTGGCCTAATTTTATACTGGTAACCTAACTCTGTACTAGTAACCTTACTTTATATTGGTAGCCTAACTTTAAACTGTTAGCCTACCTTTATACTGGTAACCAAATAGAATACTGGTAACCTACTTTAATACTGGTAACCTGACCTTAGAAAACATTATTGCCATTAGCATTTAAAAGTGCTAACACCAAGTAAGAATTAAGTTTTGCATAAGTTTATTAAATCTGTATAAAAAAAACACTTGTAAAGTTTGGCACAGATTTTATGTCTTTGGTTCTGATGGAATTCTTCTGTAAATTTTCTCATCTTCCCCTTCTAAATGAGCTGCTAATCTTGCCATTGTAAACAACAAATCACTGAGTCTGAAATAACAAGATAATCAAACTTATTAAATCTAAAGGTATGACAACTATGCAATGTTTTTCATATTTTACACATGGACCAAATCACTGGTATTTCATATTTGTCATGTATGACCTACATGTGCATGTGTTTATTGCATATACAAGTACAGGTATTATGATATTTGACCTCATTCTTATGCATTTCATTCCAAAAATCCATTTTAGCATAAAAAGGTATAAATGATCATTTAGTCACCAAAGTTCTGTAACAGGTTAACTCCTGTCAAATTATATAAGGAGTTAAACTGTTATTGCTCTAAGATGACATTTTGCCGCTAGCATTTAAAGGTGTGTAACCTGTGTATCGTTTTCTGTTTATCACTGGTATATTGTATCCTCCGTGTTATGTTGTATTTGGTTGGTATTCGCCTAACTGTTGTATCGTCGTCGTTTGTTTGCCTTACTGTGGTAATGTTTTGTATAGTCTGTTTCGTATGAGAGGTCACTGTAAGTTGAAAGGTTGTATGAATGTGTTCACTAATATTTCACGTGCATGACCCTAAAATCCCCGCGAAACATTTTCTTGCTTAAATAAAATATTTCCCTTCGCCAGTTCCACATTATACGAGTAACTGATAACTTACTTTACAGTATAGTTGTTGATAGTAGTAGTTACTTATTATAGTAAACTTGAACATCATTTATGGAAAGTTCTTGTATGCTGATCCTGGTAAGAATTTATATATTTCTAATGTCATATTTATTCTTTTCCATTGATGAATTGGATGAAATGTGTAATTTTATTATTTTGTAAATCAATTATTTGTAATTCCTTTGTATTTTGTTTGTAGGCTCGTTTTTGTATGTCCGACAATAAAATGATGAAATAGAAGCAAGTCTTCAATCATTTATCCCCGGTTACAGGTGTTTGATTGATTTTGTTCAAAATGACCGCATTTAGTCTGGTAAGGGTTAAGGTATAACAATATTGAATTACCTATTTAAATATTTCATTGGTTCAGTATCCATCTCTCTTGCTCTAACAACTGTTGTTACTCTGAAAATTTAAATCATATTACACTGTACATGACTGTGACAAAACGATAGAAATATTCAATGACAACTTTGTAATAATACAGCCTTTTCATTTACCCTCAAAATGAGGGAAACTGAGTGATATATATCCTGAATAAAAAATGAATAAAAATCTTACCACCAGAACAGAGCAGCAGGCAAGTCTGAACACAAGGACAGACAGGCAGACAAGCCTGAACACAAGGACAGAGAGGCAGGAAAGTCTGAACACCAGGACAGAGAGGAATGGCAAGTCTGAACACCTGGACAGAGAGGCAAGGCAGTCTGAACACCTGGACAGAGAGGCAAGGCAGTCTGAACACCAGGACAGAGATGAAAGTCAGTCTGAACACAAGGACAGAGAGACAGGTCAGTCTGAACACAATGACAAAGAGGCAGGCCAGCTGAACACAAGAACAGAGAGGCAGGCCAGTTTGAACATCAGGACAGAGATGAAGGCCAGTCAGGATAGAGAGGCAGGCCATTCTGATAATAGGACAGAGAGACATGCATGTCTGAACACCAGGACAGATAGGCAAAGCAGTCAGAGCACCTGGGCAGAGGCAGGCAAGTCTGAGCACCAAGAGAGGCAGGCAATTCTGAACAAAAGGACAGAGAAAAGGGCCAGTCTGAAAACCAGGAAAGACATTGAAAGCCTTTACAGTAATAACAGACAGATTATATTCAATGCAATTCAAAGTCCCTGTTTTTAATGCATAACTGATTAAAATGTTCCTTTAGCAGAATATTTTATTTATGAATAGTAGGTTTGAATATGACTTTGTGAATAATTTACTTAACAAAAATTGACAAATATCATTATTTTATTAGAGTATATGTAAGTATGACTTTTTTGTATTAAAACACAAACTCATAAGTTACCTTCTCTCAGCTCTTCTACATATTGACCTAGCTAAATGAAGAGATGCTGCACTCTTTCCACCAGACTGAAATAGATACACTGCCTTTTCTTATGTCAAAACAACATTTTTGTATATATATATATATATATATATATTGTCCTTTAAAATGTAAAAAAAAAATGTTTTTTAAATCTTTATTAATCAGTACAGGTGGTAAAGACAAAAAATATATTTTATAGATATAAAGACATCATCAAATCAAATTGTGATTACAGATCATGTTAAGACATCAAAAGTTGACGGATGCTCTACAAACCTACATGTTTGACAGTGTAAAAGGCTTGATAAGCAAAAGTGTAAAAATCTAATTTTAGCACTGGTGACCTTGACATGGACCAAAGTGACTCCAAAACTAAAGTTTGTGGACCAACCATGGTATGTACCTACCAAATATAGCAGACAAACATTTGTAGGTTAATAAATAAAGGCTTTATTAGTATAAGCTTATAAAGTACATGTACTTTTAGTACTAATAACCTTGATCAAAGTGACACCCACCTACCCCTTAAATGGTATGTACTGACCAAACAGACAATGGTCAATGGTTGAGGGCTGTATAAGCAAGTATAATAATCTATTTTTACTACAGGTGACCTCAACATTGGCCCAAAAAAACCTAATTCTAACTAAAGTTGGATGACCATCCATGGTATGTATCCCCTAAGTATGAAAGATGTTGGTCAGTAAAATGGAGGCTGTATCTGCAAAATTGTAAAAATATATTTTTAGCATCAGTAACCTTGACCCAAGTGAACCTAAACTTTCACAAAGAGGACAATCCAGTATATCTACCTACGCATTATGGAAGATACTGGTTGATAAATAAAGTTGTTAAATGAAACCATCGCAATGACCCACCATTGCCAGATCAGGTTACAGGTAAAAACTTGGCCCATTTTCGCTACTATTTTGAGCACTGCCACGGGGTAGGTGAGAAAATAATAACAATTGACAGGAGCTTAAACAAGATGAAGATTTCTAGACAAAATTTACAAAACAAGTATTCCAACACTTATGTATAATGTAGATTAAACCTGATAAGACAATAAAATATGTGCAAAAAATTTTACCACAATCTTAAATAATAATAAAATTTAGTAAACAAAATATTCAAGGTTATAAGGTCGTACTTACAGGCAATATAAAATTTTCTAAGGGAGGTAACTGTTGAGTATACTCATCTATCCAAGTCTCTAATGTAGGTACATAATTCACACTAAATTCAGTTAGATCTGAAATGTAAACCAATTTTTTTTTCTTAAGATTTTTCATATATGCTGAATTATTTGGTTTTTCTGACTTTTACAATGCTTTTTACACATATTTGGTCAGCAGTTGATCCAACTAATCAGCTTTCTTTGATAACTTACCAGTGAAATATAATAAACAATTTCTCAGCAAGTAACCAATTACTTATCCCGCATTATTTCTGAGCAAATGGTTTCAAGACATATGACCATTATACTCAATGTTCAAGATGAATTGAAATGGCGACATTATAGCCGTGTCACGACAAAACCAACATAATGGGTTTGCGACCAGCATGGATCCAGACCAGCCTGCGCATCTGCGCAGTCTGATCAAGATCCATGCTGTTCGCTTACCAACTCTATTACAAGTAGAGAAACTGATAGCGAAGTGCATGGATCCTGATCAGACTGTGCGGATGCGCAGGCTGGTCTGGATCCATGCTGGTTGCAAACCCATTATGTTGGTTTTGTCATGACGCGGCTCAAATTTTTACACCCCGAGGAGGAACCTTCAATCCCTGGATGCTTTCCCTAATGAGCTCAGCAGACCCACTGATATTTTGGTAAGGAATTGTAAAAACAACTTTGTGACTCTGGAACCAAGAACTTATCTCAGAGATTATTTTGAATCAAAAGTATCAGGAAGCTTGTATGGTGACACAAAATAAGGAAAGCTATATGTTCAATGTATTACCGTTAGCTCATAGTCAGTATCTTAAAGAAGTGATGTTTAAGCAAAACAAAAATGCCAGAAATTTACCAAAGCTGTAATATTGTAATTTCTGTAAATATGAATCTTATCAAATTTCTGTTTATGTGGTTTAAACTAGGATGTAAACAGTTAATCACTGCCTGAATTTTAATTTTTTTTTCATTTCATTGTGTCCTATCTGTGGAAAACATATAAAATTCCTGAAGAAAAAATAACAAACCCCAAAACATGCATTCTTAAGAGACAAGGGCAGAATTTCAAACAAGCAGCTTCAAATGAATGTAAAACAAATGAGAGTATATGTATACATATGTATATATCAATTTATATTAAGGTAGTCTAAATGTAATGATTTCCAGCCCCCCCCCCCCCAAAAAAAATCTAACATCAGCCAATATGGTAATAAATCGGTCATTTCCAGAATGTTATTTTTCACAACCTGCGGTATTTAATAATTTTTAACCTTTTATAACTGGAATTTAGTACATAGTGATAAAGGATGAGTGATTGTCCAAGATTTTGATAAAATAATGGATATAACCATAATGGTACGATATTGGTCAATGTTAGATTTTTTTTGTCAGGAAAGCATAATGTAAGACTACCTTAAATGTTCTATATAGACACAGATATATTAAAAGCAACTACTTACTGCTATGAGATTCCCTGGCTGAGGATTTTGGTGTTGCTATATTTGAACTAACATCCTGAAGTATACATTGTATCTGAAAAGCAATAAATTATTGTTCCATAATTAAAAAAAATTAATTATGCAACATGACAAAGTGTACACAAGAAGGATTTATACAGAGCCATACATCACTTTAAAGGAACTCCACTGAGGTTTACAAGCCTAAAAACATAAAATTTTGTTTTTTTCACATAGATAAACATGAGCACTTAAAACAGAAATATATATAAAATATAACCAAGAAATATACAAGAAATGCATTGAAAATCATATGTTTGTGCTATTGTCAGTCCGATTTGAGTGAAAAGCGTTTAAACGCTTTTCAATTTTGGGTCATTTTTCACTATTATAATAATTATTCTGGAAAAACGGAGCGAGCTAATGATCTGAAATTTTGCACATAAGTTATTAGTATAGATTTACATCAAATGGAGTAATAATGTCAAAAAATTATTTCCAGTCCCGTCATGTCAAAAACCTCAGTGGAGTCCCTTTAAAACAAGAATATTACAAATGAAAAACATGACTAAATGGTTACACTAATGGATTTGACCAAACATTTCTTTGACAATGCTTTTAAAGATATCCGATTGCCTTACTAACAGTCTTTGGAAAAGAATAAAGTGACAATAATCCATTAAACCTGAAAACCTAAACGTTGTGTAAAGGTCCATAGATTATACAAACACACCAAATACCTTTGATAATTGATAATAGTCAAAAATGATGGAATACTAATGAGAAACACATGATGTAATATATAGAAGTATGGATAGAACTAAGCAAAAAACTTGCAGCTTTATTTCCCACAAAAGAAAGCAGGGTGCATTTTGGAAATACTACTAAACACTGATGTTTAAATTATGTAAACTAACAAATGTCTTCAGACCTTGACCCATATGTTACATGTATTCTGTGACAATCTTCAAATAGTTCACAGAAAAATTTCAAGCAAACCTTAAGTTTTGACACAAAGTTCAGCTTTTTTTAATAATAAAAAAGTTTAACCACCAAATAAAATGTACAGAATAAACATTGAATTATTAAATCTTAAAGGCAACTACATGTAAAATGACAGTGTGTTGTTTTTTCAGTTTACTATAAATATTTTTGTTACCAACCTCCTCTAGTCGGTCTATAAATGGATGCCCAGCATCTTTACAATATTCTCTTGCTAACCTGAAAATTTATGAATACACGTATATATCTATAAAACCTATTATCACTGCTTAACTTACCTAAACAAATAATATAAGAAAATTGATATTAACAATACTATTTTCTCTGACTTTTCTGTTGATTTCATTAATTAAGAAAACTGTTACAGTAAAACAAACATTTAAGTAGTACAATATGAACAATCTTCTACATTCTGTTCTCATGGATTTTATATTGTCTATAACTCTTTCCATTTAACATTGCAAAATATGAACTGACAGAGTAGCAAACAGTGTAGACCATGGTCAGATAACTTGATTCTGTAGCTACCAGCAGGCTAAGGGTTTAACACTTTGGATTCAATAATAATGGATAATGCAAACCTCTCACAACCTTGCCTGAAAATTATCTTTGGTCCACATAAATCATAGTTGAAATACAAACTATTTTCTATAATAATAAAGCTTTGTAAATTATAATGTAATTTTAGGTAATTATTGTTACAGCAAAAAAAAAGAAAAAAAAGGAAAAAGAAATGCAAAACCGGCTTAAAATGTGATACTGACTAGTGTGGGTTCAAACCCTGTCAGGGACAAGCCTTCATTACTGCCTGGTTCCAGGAACAGATTCAACGATTCAAAGCTTATACATGCACAGCTCCCTAAACATTCAAATTAAAATAAATTCTGTATAAACTAACAAGACTCTATAATGTTTATTGTGCATTAAATGCATTAAAATTTTGATATTGAAATCTCTAGAACTACTTAATGTTAGATCAATATTCAAAGCTGGCAAAATTCAACAGAAGAAAAAATACATTTCTTCTTATTATCTCTTTTAAGTACATTAATTTCCAAGACTAAGTTTCCATGATAAAATGAGATATACTGGCATAAGTATAGCTTACATATGTCACAGTTCAGAACTGTTCACTAATTAGGAGAGAGAGTGTGTAAGCGCCTAGATAGCTCAGTCGTAGACCCGTAATGGTATGGCGAGGGTCCCTGGTTCGAGTCCCAGTCAGGTTGCATGTTTTCTCAGCCTGTGACATTTGGTGCCCAACTGGGGTATTATGTTCTATAAAATTCTAACCCTATAGCAGAAGTAAGCTCATCTGTACTACCCAATGCTTCAAAAACAATATCATCTTTTCTTCTTCTTTCCCCAGTAAAAGTGGCTGAAGTTCCTGTATAGGGTTTATAAAATCATTTTAATATAGAAATTGAGTGAAGGAAAAAAATGAGAAAAATTGTAACATAATACAAAACACAGCATCATGTTATAATGTAAGATTTTTATAAAAATTCAAGTAAGCTAAAGTAAGTCAAGACAATTACAGGTTAAAAATTAAGAAAATAAAATTAAATGCTTTAATTAAACAAATAATTTGCCTTTGATGGTATTCTGGAAAAAAATAAAATACATGCCTTTATCTCCTGTTTTAGTGTAAATTTTCATAAATCTTCTACATTCATACATACATTTTGGATGTCTGAAAAAAGCAATATAGATTAGAAAGCATTATTCATTGTTATTATACATAGGACAAATAGATCAAAAGCAACACAATTTTAAATACATGTATCAATACATGTTTCGCTTTATTAGCTTCTTCACATGATACATAAAGGAAATGACATAAATGTACCAAACAGACATCTACGTTAATAGACGCCACATTTGGCACGTAAAGGAAATGTAATAGCCAGCTCGAAGAGCTGGCGAGCTTTTCCGTAACGCAAGTACCTGCTAGATAGTGGTGGTTTTAAAAAATTTCGTCGGAAGTGGGAAATTGACACATCGCAATTTTTCGAATTACAAGATAATGATAAAAGCTGAGGTATTCTGATTGAAAACGGATGCGTGGACTGACTGTTGTCCTGCGCACCATAATAGGAACCATAATAGAACAGGGAAGCAGATAAATGGAAGAATTGTATAAAATATCGCATGAAGTTTTAAAACTGAAATGTAAAATAAAAATGAACGATTATTTCATACTATTTTCACGGTAAAAGTAAATCGAGATCGCTTTGAGGTACTGCCTTTTTCATATTAATCGCGAGTTCAAAGAGCTGACCCTAAGTTCCTGATAGCAATGAGAGCTTTACGGTAACACCAGTACCTGCTAGATGGTGATGGTTTTGAAAACTTTCGTCTGAAGTACCGAATTGACACATCACAATTTTTGGAATTACAAGATAACAATAAGAGCCAATGTATTCTGATTGAAAACAGAAGCATAGACAGGTGTCTTGCGTACTAATATGGTAACCATAAAAAAAACAGGAAACCAGAATAAAAAAGGGAAGCAGTGTATAAAATATCGCATGACAGTTTTAAAACAGAAATGTAAAATAAAAATGAACGATTATTTAATACTTTTTCACTGTAAAAGAAAATTGAGCTCGCTTTGAGGCTTTACCTTTTCCAAGTCTAATGCTGTTTTAAACATAAAGATACATTGTAAAATAAGTTTTAAAAAAATCGAGCAGACGTAAAATCATCTGGTCACATAACATAAGGCATCATCACTAAATAGATCAAATTCAAAATTTGTGAAATGTGAATTTTTCTTTATTCAATGGTAAAATCTTCTAAAAATAAGATATTTAGTAAAGTGTGAAAGTACTGTCGCATGCAACTTACATATTTGTAACATTTCTTGCTGTTAAATGTGGATGACATTGAATAAGTTTTGCGAAAACATTGACAAAACTTCGCATCTTTCACCTCCAAATTTTTCTACAATTTTTGACAGCTACCTCCTTTGAGAAGAGTTTAATGTGTGATCTCGCTCTTCTCTGCGGAATGCGCTTTAAACGAAGAAATGCTCGGTACCAGGTACGGTGTAGAGGTAAAATTTGGACTGCATGAATCATCCTACACGTGAAACAAAACTATTTGCTGCAATCTTTCTGATATAGAATTGTCATCCAGACTTATCATGACAGAAATGAATCTTATCATCTCTGCTCCAGGAAAAGTTATACTTCATGGGGAACATGCTGTTGTATATGGAAAGGTGATGATAAATAATTAAAAAAAAATGTTTTCTGTAAAACTGGTAAATTTGTAATTAATTTTTTATTGATTTGTTGGTTAGTCATAATTTCATAGCATGCGTTTAAAAAGATAGCCTGTAACAAAAGTCTGTAACACTTAAACTTTCAATGATATTTTGTGTTAGTCTAGAACTGCACTGACACTTAAAAAAGGGGAGAAAATGTGTTAGGTGGCTGGTTCAGTGCCAATCGGTGGTTATGCACCGTAGAACAGTATTCCAAGGGTTGCAGGTTCAATTCCTGTCACTTTTTCACCCTGTGACATTTGGTGCACAAAGTAGGGTTGTGATGGTATATTGTCAAAGTCAATCTACATGGTTCTCTGTATCCATCAGAAATAAATACAGCAGGAGGAATGTCAAGATTTAACTTATTTCTGCAAGAATGGGTAACTCAGTCAGTAGAGCTGAGGTATGGAGTTACAAGGGTCACGGGTTGGAATAAAGGTTGGGTTGCACATTTTTCCCCACCCTGTGACTCGTGGAATAGACCAGGTCTTAATCAGGAGTATAAGGTTCTTTCTAGATCTGTTTCTTTACTACCTTAAAATTCTAAGCGCAATGGAGGAAGACTTATTGGCTTCCAAGGCTTAATACATGACATCATGACATACTCCTGGAATAGGGGTCTAAACAAGGAAGTTATTAAAGAGTTTGTGATCTTTTCTTATTTATTCTTAATAAATACTGTTTAATCAATTTGTTATTTTAGTCTGCTATAGCGGCAAGTCTAAATCTACGTAGCTATGTACAGCTGGTGAAGACAGGTGATGGGAGAGTCGGTGTTGATCTTCCAGCTGTAGGTCTACGTCATTCATGGAATGTTGATGATATACTGAAGATAATTAAACAAAACAATGGTATATTAAAGAGGAAATTTTCTTCATAGCACTTTTTAGTTTAAAATTTATACTTGCTTGATTTTTAAAGTCATGGAATATACAAATGAGTGTAGATAGGGGATTGTTAGAAAATGACATTGTATAATTGTCAGTAAAGTTATAACCGAGACATTTAACATATCAAAACAGAATTACATTGTATCATAAATAAAAATTGTGTTGCTGAATTCTATTAGTAATCAATTACAGTAGATTTAAAGAGTTTCGGTGTTACACTCATACAATGATTAGTGGCGGAATGGCCAAGTGGTTAGCGCTTTGGACTTAAGTAATCTTATAATAATGATCCTTAGATGCAGGTGCAAGTCGTTGTTTCCTTGAGCAAGAAACTTTACTCTCATTGCTCTCATTGCTCAGTACTGGTTGGTTCCAAGAACGAATCCGAAAGTAAGGTTATAAGCTTATAGCTTCCTACACAATCAAACTAAAATAAATTCTGTATAAACCAATAATTCAGAAAGAGGATACAATATAAAAATTTTCCTTCGTTAGTTGACATACAGAATCCACACAAACACCAGGAAGATCTTGTGAATTGTATAAAAGAGACACTGTGTACAGATTTAATGGACACACAGTTACAAGCATCAGTAGCATTTCTTTACCTCTACATCAGCATCTGTAGTTCTGGCAGGTAAGTACTTTAATTGTACAATGTATTTATATAGCAAGGTTATATAACTGCTGGCATATACATGTAGGAGGTTTGTTGATAGGTGTAAAATTTTTCTTCCATGTGCAACTCATTCTTTAGTAAAATTTCTATCAAACCTTCGTAAGATCATTGTCAACAAGTGATGAAATTGTCAAGATTTTATTATTTTATTATTTGATCATGGCTAAAAAAAGGTGAAAAATGCCAATAGGTTTCCCATAAAATCAAAAACATTTAAATTTTATGTAAACATAACTTGATTCTTGCAGAATTCAAAAAAACATACTTAACATGGTGGTTCTCTGGTGGAAACCTCTGCTTAAATGCAATGTAAATATTTGTTTGAATATTTGTTTGAATATGTTTGTTTCATATATATGTTAATTTTCACTTTTGATAACATTTGTATACCAGTATATTATCAACACATGTCTTTTGTTGTTTAAGGTTGATCTCACATATTTCAATGTTGAATGTATAATAATGAAATCAACTTATGTAGTTCTTTATTCTCTTATTGATGTATTTTATTTTATAAATTGTTTTGTACATTGTTGAGGCTCACAGGGAAGACTGGGCTTGCCCAACTGTGTTGCCTCATTAAATAAAGTCGTTACTTACTTACTTACTTACTTACTATATTGTAATTTTAAAGGAAATGAAATTTAAAAAAATAAAAAATGATACTGTATTCTTTATTTATGATGAATAAATAAAAACAAAGACAAATATATAAACCATCTACTTATGTACTAATGTATGTTGCCAGAAATGATTCTGTGCTGTAGACATCTCTTGTTATAGATGAACACTGTGGCGCTGGTAAGTAAGTATTTGTGGTCACTGTTGTCATCTCTATCCTTTACACTTTCCTTATTATAGACTGTAAATAACCATATACAGTCAAACCTGTGTTAAAGATCACCTCTGAATAAATAAATTTGTAAATTTGTTTTTCAGCTGTCCACCATCCATAAATGTGAAAATAACATCAAAGTTACCAGTAGGTGCAGGACTGGGATCTTCAGCTAGTTTTTCAGTGTGTCTTGTAGCAGCATTACTGTTAGTTCAAGGTCATGTCTCTTGTAAGTTAATCTTGCTGCATTCTTTTTATATTTTTAGTCAAAGTTCATGTGTTGAATATACATTGTCTCTAATTCTATACAATGTATAAACTGATTGTGAGTAAATGCATGAATGTTGTTAAATTTAGACAAATATCATAGATGCACACATCACAGTCCTTAATAGATAGGGAGTTGTTTAATTCAGTGACTTTAAAGATTTTTCAGCAGGACATTATTGTTTTGTATACATATTATATGGTATTTTTAGTTTCTTGTATTTGGCCACTTTGAATTTGTGTTGTTCCAGTATTCCCACTTGAATACTGTATAATCACCCTTAGGATATGTTGCCTGCTTTTTAAATTTGTCTTTTGACGTCTTGTCTGTAATATGCAGGCTTCATAACCTCAGATCCCCTCTCTAAATTCCATTTTTGTGTCGCCTCTACGGAGTAGTGGCGACACATAGGGATCACTTCTCCGTCGTCTGTCTGTCTGTGCGTCCGTCCGTCTGTCCGTCCATCCGTCACAAAACTTGTCCGGACTACTCCTCATAAACTACTGGTGCAATTTCATCCAAACTTTACAGGAATGATCAGTACCAAGTGTAGTTGTGCATATTGTTAGCATTTTCCGGTTCAATGATTTTTGTCAGAGTTATGGCCCTTTAATAATTTTTAATTTTTAAGTTTGTCCGGACTATTTCTCTTATACCACTAATGCAATTTCAATGAAACTTTACAGGATTGATCTGTAGCTCAAGTCCTTGCGCATATTGCAAGGGTTTTCCGGTTGAATGATTTTTGGCCGAGTTATGGCCCTTTGATAAAAAGGTTTCTTTTTCTGTGTGTTGCCAGATACACAAAAGCTTGTCCGGACTACTCCTCATAAACTACTGGTGCAATTTCATCCAAACTTTACAGGAATGATCAGTACCAAGTCTAGTTGTGCATATTGTCGGCATTTTCCGGTTCAATGATTTTTTTTGAGTAATGGCCCTTAAATAATTTTTATTTTTAAAGTTTGTCTGGACTACTTCTCTTATACCACTAATGCAAATTCAATGAAACTTTACAGGATTGATCTGTAGCTCAAGTCCTTGCGCATATTGCAAGGGTTTTCCGGTTGAATGATTTTTGGCTGAGTTATGGCCCTTTGATAAAAAGGTGTTTTTTTTCTGTGTGTTGCCAGATACGCAAAAGCTTGTACGGACTACTCCTCATAAACTACTGGTGCAATTTTATCCAAACTTTACAGGAATGATCAGTACCAAGTCTAGTTGTGCACTGTCTGTCTGTCTGACCGTCTGTCACAAAATTTGTCCCAACATGAAATTGGCCATAATGAGGCGACACATGTGATTACTGATCGCTCTTGTATTTAGTTCCGCCCATTGTTTTCTCGTTCAGGGCACACACTTTTTATTACTTGGGGACCATACGCCGCTTTTCATGGAATGGCACTACTGTGTCACATTGAAGGTTCCATGATAACCGCCATATTAACACATCTGCGGATGTTTCTAAATTCAAATTTCATCATTTCATGTTTAAATGTTGAATTCTGCTTAAGCCAGCGCTAGGGGGCGTGGACAGTATATTGCACTTTCCAGTACCGTCCATGAACAGGCGCAATCAAACCGAGCCTGCAACATTTTACAATTTTACCATTTTGGGCTTTCTTTAGGGATTCTGTATTTCTCTATTTTATATTGTCTTTTATGTCTGGTGGTTTTTAATATGGTTGTATACAACAGGAAGTAGTTTAATTCAGTCAGAGTCACTAACGATTGTTTTCTTGTATACTCATGTAAGTAAATATTGGTACATTCGTAGGTCTGTAATTCTGTACAATTTAATAGGCAGCATTTTGTTAAAAATCATATCTTTTATACATGTAAGAAATGATCCAGAATTGAATTTATTGTTTAAAATTTTAAACACTAATTTTGTCAAGTAAGGGCAGCCTATATATAGCTTTATACAGTTTAACCTTTCTTCAAAAAATATTTGAGAAAACATGCAACAATGAATGATTATGCTATTTTATGAATATATGAGGATGGATGATGAACATGGGACCCAGGTATCTAGATATGTTTTGTGTCATTATCATAAATGTATTATTTATTTCTATAAAGTTCCAGCACAGGATGAAAAGGGAGATACACAGTGGAAAGATGAAGACTTAGAGCTTATAAATAAATGGGCATATGAAGGGGAGAGAATTATGCATGGAACACCATCTGGGATAGATAACTCTGTAGCAACATTTGGTATGTCAATTTTTAATTCTGTATCGGCAATGGGGCATACTTTTGAGGCATTCATTTGATAAATTTAAAGTATCTGAGTAAAATACTTGCGGAGATAGGACTTGTACAAGACTTTGTCAGTATTTTAAATCTATTTGTTGAAATAAACATGCAATTATCATTGTATTGCAAGCAATACAAAAGTCCCCTACCAGTTAGAACCCTTAACATTCTCAAGGGCCATTCGCCATTCAATTATGCCATTGTGGAAGTAATGAATGAACTTAAATCTTTGAAGTAAGCTTCTTACGTAAGGAAATTGTCTATACAACAGATAATCAAAAGATGAATATGTATAACAAATGTTTCAACTTTGCACTATTTTAAGTAAATTTGTTGGAAAAGTTCCAAGTTTTTAATTTATAATATTTAATTTATTGACCACTGTTATTAGAATTTTCAAATAAATTATGTACAAAGGCTTTATAAAGTATTAATGGAGAGAGATGACCTCAGTGGTAAGGGTGTCTGTCTGTCAAACCTGGATTGAAGGTTTGAACCCTAGGAGGGTCTCAACCATGTTTCCTCCCGTGACACCAGTAACTAAAATAGTAGAAGCCAGGATGAATAAGTTGACATACATTTTTCAGGTGGTGCGATTAAATTTCAAGCTGGGAAGATTACTAAACTTAACAAGTAAGGTTTTCAAGTTTTTTTTTACAGAGTTTTTACAAATGAATCAACTGGGTATAATTGGTTGCCACAAGTTTAAGCTATATGGAACCATGTTATTATAAACATACTTTTTTAGCTCACCTGTCACAAAGTGACAGGGTGAGCTTTTGTGATCGCTTTTCGTCCGTCTTCCGTCCGTCGTCCGTCCGTCGTCCGTCCGTAAACTTTTACTTTAAATGACATCTCCTCATAAACTACTTAGCCAATTTCATCTAAACTTCACAGGAATGTTCCATTGGTGGTCACCTTTAAAAATTGTTCAAAGAATTTAATTCCATGCAGAACTCTGGTTGCCATGGCAACCGAAAGAAAAAACTTTAATTATCTTCTTTTAAAAAACCCTGAGAGCTAGAGCTTAGATATTTGGCATGAAACATCTTCTAGTGAGTGTCTACCAAGTTTGTTCAAATAAAAGCCCTGGGGTCAAAATTGGCCCCGCCCCAGGGGGTCATTTATTTTCCCTATATGTATATAGTAAAAACTTAAAAAATCTTCTTTTAAAGAACTCAAAGAGCTAGAGCATAGATATTTGGCATGAAACATCTTCTAGTGAGTGTCTTCCAAGTTTGTTCAAATAAAAGCCATGGGGTTAAAATTGGCACCGCCCCAGGGGGTCATAGATTTTCCCTATATGCATATATAGTAAAAACTTAAAAAATCTTCTTTTAAAGAACTCAAAGAGCTACAGCTAAGATATTTAGCATGAAACATGTTCTAATGGTTGTTTACCAAGTTTGTTCAAATAAAAGCCCTGGGGTTAAAATTGGCCCCGCCCCAGGGGGTCATAGATTTGCCCTATATGCATATATAGTAAAAACTTAAAAAATCTTCTTTTAAAGAACTCAAAGAGCTAGAGCTAAGATATTTAGCATGAAACATGTTCTAATGGTTGTTTACCAAGTTTGTTCAAATAAAAGCCCTGGGGTCAAAATTGGCCCCGCCCCGGGGTTCATTGATTTTCCTTATATGTGTAAAGCAAAAACTTAAAAATCTTCTTTGAAAAAAACCCAAATAGCTAGAGTTTAGATATTAAGCATGAAACATCTTCTAGTGAGTGTCTACAAAGTTTGTTCTGATGAAAGCCCTGGGGTCAATATTGGCCCCGCCTGGGGTGATTGATTTTCCTTATATGTGTAAAGCTATATACAGGTGAGCAACCTCAGGGCCATCATGGCCCTCTTGTTAAGACATATCATCTACTGTTTAGGGAAACCAAACCTGGATGACCATTAAACCAGGACAGCTTCGGAATGCTTGTTTTATTTGTTTTCTTTGTTTAGTGATTGTCAATCAATCTATCGCTGTTTTATCAACTAGCTCTTCTGTTTCTGTCAATTTCTCAAGTACCTATCTTAAAAATTGTGAAATCTGTATGGAAAAATGTTCAAAAAGTGTCAACATATTATCTTTCATAATTTCTTTAAACAAAATAATCAAAAGATTATGTTATTTAAACTGAAGTTTTTTCTAGTTTTCCAAGACTGAAAATTCTGCTGTCAAGTACAAATGTTCCCAGAAGTACAAAAGTTTTAGTGGGTAATGTTCGGGAAAGATATAACAGGGTAGGTAATACAGTCAATGAACTTTTTACTATTTAGGTAAAATATATTTTGAGCTTTTTTGTGCCGCTTCTTTTCACGCAAACAAGACTCCACAGGTCTTGAAATTTAGGGACTGAAAATATTTTTCCAAATTTGATTTAGGTCTAGGCCAATAGTGGATGTGAAAAATATCTGATCATTCACTTATTCTGTTTTTTTTTTTGTTTTTTTCAGAATAAAAATTTTTAGTGAGCAAAATGAGCCAAAATAGAATAAGGTTGAAATGCTTTTCACGCATATTGGCCATAAATTTACACAAAAATCATTTTTCTATAAATACTAAGTTAATCCAACAAGAGAATGTCAAACTTAAAAAAATAAGGAAGGCATTTATCCTGATTAAATGAAATTATGTGGTCATTTAGTTTATACAAATTTATTTTAGTTTAATTGTGTTGAAAGCTATAAGCTTATTGAAACACTCTCAAATCCGTTCCTGGAACCAACCAGTACTAAGCATTGAATGTAAAGTTTCTTGCTCAAGGAAACAACGACTTGCCCCTGACAGGGTTTGAACCCACGCGGTCAGCAATCCTTAGATTACTAGTCCGACGTGTTAACCACTCTGCCATGCCACCATTCACAAGTGAAATAATGAATCAAGGGTCTATGTTATACAGAAAAACTTAGTTTTCATATGAACGTTGGTGCAACTACACACATCATTGATCTATTAAGTTCAGTGTATTGTTAAGAAAGGCCAATGCATATGGATAGTTTTATATTACTACTTTTACCAGGTACATATATATACCTGGTTGTACTTACACAGCCAGAAAGTAAGCTTAGTTGTTTGAGGTTTTAGGAATATAACTTAACTGTGGCGGAAAAAAAAAAGTAACTATCACATGTTACTTATCAGGTACCAGATGTAATGCAGCATGTTATGGATGCTACAGAAGCTGTCACACATCAATGTGAGAAAATACTAGAAACCATGGCAACAGAATCTCAACATGAAATTACCAGTCTATACACCAATTTGGAGGTAGGTGTCTTTCTATAATTGGAAAAAAAACTCAATTTCATACAGGTGTTATAAGAAAACATGGATAAATGGACATTAATGGATAAAATCAAGCAAGCATGTGCAGTTGTTACACAGTTTTTATTTGTTTGGGTCGTCAGACCAAACAAATAATGGTAGCGAAATTTCAGACTCTAATGCTGTTAATTGCAAATGCCGAAAGTAGTCAGCTTTTTTGAGGCGGTTACTTCCCTTTATATGTAACACAAAGGCCAAAAAATACAGGGGAGATCACTGCGTAAATATGGTCACATGACAGGCGCATTAATTTTCAAGCAAAATAATTTCCGAATGGTCGAAGATTTCTAATATTGTTTTATTCTTTATAGATATACATGCTTATAGTAAGCGCCATAATTATTTACACAAGTGTTAAACAACAGTTAGCGTCGTTACAAACCCTTATTTAGAATAATATGGTTTTCTTCAGACCGAAAATCCTTAAATTCACCGAAGCCAAGGGGTTTGCGCGCTCACTTAGGAAGCGAAAGGTCTGGAGTTCAAATCCCAGTTAAGGCATATCATTTTTTTTTCAAATTGTTTAAGTCAAATAAACATTGGATTGAATATCAGTGTTGCAATTAGTCTCATAGCAAATCTACTACAATTAAAACACTGGAAAGCATTGGTGGCACTATACAAAAACAAATTGTTTTATAATCTCACAACCTTCAACTTTCTGACATTCTGAGACCCAAGCAAATTCAGCGCCTTCTGTGCTTTGATTTAATATGCATGGCTCAGGGCATCATGTAAAAATAGCAGATTGCAATGATGTCCCTGGTAATTTCATTATAAAAATAACTGTCCAAAGGCAATTGGTGCTCAGCACATGAAAAGCAGGAAAAAAAAACAGTTTCCTTATACCATAATTATCAACAAAACATGTAATTTCAGAATCAGACTTGTACTTTCATGCAACATTAGCCTAATACATCTCTTTTTGTGCATTAATATTTTTAGAAGTCCTAATACCTAGTGGTAATAGGTTATTAAATAAGTTATTATTTGAATTTATGATGATGAATGTAGTTGTTTCTTAAATTACTATTTAGCTAAAGAAGGAACTTTCATACTATTTGAATGAACTAGTCAAAGAGCTTATAAACATTATGTTTTTTTTTAATAAAAGCTAATAAAAACATTGTTGTTATTAATGGAGAAAGAATAAATAAAATTCTCTGTTTATTTTAGGAATTGATCGACATTAACCAGCACCTTCTACAAGCAATGGGTGTAAGTCATGTGACTTTAGATAAAATATGTCATGTGACATCTAAATATAGACTGCATTCCAAGTTAACAGGAGCAGGTGGTGGGGGTTGTGCATTTACTCTTCTTAGACCAGAACAAGAACAGAGCCTGGTAGATGATGTGATAAAGGAATTAGAAATGGAAGGATTTAATTGTTTTATAACAGATGTGGGAAGTTTTGGAGTGATGGTACATGACAGTTTACCAGAAAGTGTTTCCTAGATAACAATATAGTTCTAAACCAGGAATTGTGAATATACCCTTGTGGGGCCCACATTTTGAGGCCCACTTGGCAGATAAGGAAACCAAATGTGTCAGCCTCGTTATATTAAGTCGTTACTTACTTACTTACTTTCATAGTTACATACTAACCATAATATGTGGTAATCTTATAAGGTTTTCACATTAGCTAAAACCTTGTACATTTGTTTACCAACTGTGGGTTGAACATGATTAGAAAATGACACACAAGTATACTTGAAAATTAGTAAGAAATTACATGACAGGAAGTAACTTGAAACTGCTACATATACATGTATATAGAATTTTACTTCAATGATGATTATTCTAAATCAAAATACATATACTTCATTTATTTCCGAGAAATAAGTAATAATGAATATGATTATAAAGCTGTTTGTAAGTCAAGCTGTACTTTTACAGTTAAAACACGGATTTATATTACAATAATTTTGTAATATTGTAATATAAATCCGTGACTGAATACATAAAATAAAATGAAAAACATGTCTGTCACCAAAGTGTGAATCTGTTTTAACTCTAATATATAAATAGAGGATTTTCAGGTTTTTTCTATAAATACAGGATTTATTTTCATCGTGGTATGAAAATTAACATTTTACTAGTGGCGGGAACCATGAGTGAAATATGATAATTTTCATATCACAATTTTCTGTTTATCATATACTTGTTCTGTTTTTCGACCATACAATTCAAAAGACTTCTTCTTTCATTTTGTGTATTGGCTGAATTGTAGACCGGCAAGACACCAGTGAAAATACACAAAATATGTTTCACTGTCGTGAAAAAACAATTTTTTACAGTGAAAATACAGAAAATAAAAATAAGGCATATTATTTCATCAATATTTCACTTAACAGTATCTAATACAGCAAACATCATTTTTTAGAGAAAAAAGTAAGATTTCTTCAATGGACAACAGCCGTGTAAAGAAAACTTATGATATAAACGTCACAATTATCCAATGAAAAGCGACGTTACAAACGTGCAGTATTATAAAAATTATAATAAATATGTACTCGTATATAAAGTTAAAATAGAAACACACTCAGTACAGTTGAAGAGAAAATGAATAAGAGCATTAGACAGAGTATTAGGGTTCAGGAGATCATTTAAACTAAATAAAAAAAGTAAATTGATCCCAAAATAAAATTTCAAAACAGCTACAGAATGCTTAGTAAAAACGAAAAACACAAAAATTCAACGAACATCATGTACATTGCCGTGTCAGTAAATGCTGTATGTGTGATATATATGTATATTGGCAATCCAGGTTAATGATTTCTCAGAAAGTGTAACGTGGGTGTTGAACAAAAGATACAGAAGACAACAATAAAATTGAACGAGATTACTGGGAACTTCTGAACAATAGCAACAATAATTTCTGAAAGTTTTCCGTGAAATACTCTGTATCATCCCTCTGTAATCACAGACGCTTGGGGGTCAGATCCTGCCCCCCCCCCCAACGTGATACGCCCCTGTAAACACTCTGTCAAAAATATTTTAATATTTAAACACAAATTGGACATCTGCTACAATGATACAACTGGTTTTCAAACAATCATTAATCTGAAAAAATTACCTTTTACCATCAAGTCTCAATAAAGTACTTTATTATTGAGATTTAATCAAAAATAATTATATAAATTAATTTACAAATCGTTTAAATGGTCGATATTTAGGTAAAAACCAGTTAGGCAACTCAATAACCTGTTACCAAGGCTAAGACAAAGTGCCGATTAATAAAAAAATTATAAACATTCTTAAGTTTTATTAATACCTTAATAATGTTACTATATATTGTAACAAAATTTAGGGTATTTCAGGGCCTAACAAGAATAATCATACATGGCGTTCTATTTGTATTTTAGTTGTGAGTACGTTACTGTCTTAATGAGGTCAGGAAGCTTCCAAGAAAAAGATCTATTGTATTATCTTCATAACAGTTGCAAGGTCTATTATTTCTCAGAAATTAATAAATAATTTCCTTTTTTAGAAAGGGCTCACAAGAGTTTCATAACATTTAAGTAATAGTTTAAGTGTAAAGGGAAGTAGAGCTGAAAATGAAATTTATTTGTTTTAAATGTAGCAAATTATGTAGACACTGCCAAACAAAAGTACTACATCTCTACTAATTACCAAAAAGGCAGAAGTAAGAAGCAAAAGATTGTTCAGCTAAATTGGTAATTGACCAATTAATAGCTTGAGGAAACTAAAACTGGACACCGAAAATAAGCTTTTGAAAATTGAAAGCATTTCTGGCAATAATGTGGCTTTAAGCTTTAATAGGAAATTTAATGTTGGTTTATTAAATTTTGTGGAAAACGAAATTAATGTCAAGTGTGTAAAAATTCATTGTTTTAAGTTAAGAAAGTCAGAAACGGAATAGAATGTAAAGGAGACGTACACTGCGGGGGACTAAATGATAAAGCAAATAACAACATACATTATTTGAGGCATTGCATTCAAAGAGTATTCACCTACTGGAAAATATAAGGTATTTATCTTATTTTATAAAAGTGTTTTGTTTTCTTTAAAGGCCTTAGAAATGAATAAATATTTCATTATTTAGAAAGGAAAAATCTTTTATTCTATAATTGTTTAATTAATGATTAAAGACCATGCCTGATGTTTATCACCTGAAAAAAGTAACCCTGTATGTGGAATTATTTGTCATATGTTTGACAATACTCATTCTAAAACTTGTTAATTTTCGGAAAGTTCTTTGTTAGTTTTCGTAATTTATTATGATTTACGCTTAATCTTTAGTGAAACTATAGATCCCAATACTTAAATCAATAAATATTGTATGATGGCCTAATGGTGAGTACGACAGAATTATGACCACGTAGTTGCAAGTTCGAATCTTGAACATATATATTTGTTTTTTTTGTAGTTACTTATGTTTTTATTTACTTTAATTATATGTAACCTGAGTTGTTTAATCGTGTGTTTCATTCTCATTTAAATAAACTTAAAACATTTATTTTTTTATTTCAATATGTAGAAAAAAATCATTTGTTTCGAGCCTACAATCTTTAATTAATGAAACTAACTTAATTAACTTTAAGCATTACACTTTGTCACTGAGGTTAGTAAGGCAAATGTTATACTGGTAAATTTAAGTTATACCAATGTACAATACATTATAAAATTCTTAAACTAGTAGCTAATAAAAATTTTAAGCTTGACCTGGTGTTGTACATGTGTTCCTCACCTTTTTAAATCATTGGAAAAAAAGAAGAAAAGTTATCCATTGATAGAAATTGATTGTACATGAAAAAAAGATAAATCTATACAATCTGATATTTCAGAATGTCTGAAGCACCAGATTACACAGAGGCAGCGTCACTGAAACTATCAGAAGTTCTTGCTGATATAGGCGTGAATACCAGAATGATACTGAAGAGGAGGAGAGCAATGCTTCTGATTGAATCAATGAGAAACATGTCTAGTTATATAGGTTTAAACATGATGCGACAATACATAATGGGTAGTCAAGCAGAAGGCACAACTACATTAGGACTAAACTCAGATACTGACATGATTGTCTGTCCTAACATGTACTTTCATGTGATACAAGATTGGAGTGACTGGCAACCTGGTGTAATAAATCTACTGATGATTCAAGATCATTCTATATCCCCAGGTTACTGTCAACTTCAATTGTTAAGACCTGAAGAACCTCTACCTTTCCCCGAGTGTGGAATTATGCTCTCTACTTTATCAGACTTTATCAGAACAGACAGAATTGGAAGAATATGTTTTAGGAATTCTTTTTTAACAAGGTCTGCTTTAAGTTTTGATGGAGTAGTACGGCATGGTCCAGCATGTTCGTCAGTAGAGGATGATGTAGTTTTTGCTTTTACCAGTTCAACATGGCCTTTACAAGCTAGACAATGGTTGCACCAACAAAGTGTTGGTCAATGGCCTACTGATGAAATCAAACAATACTGCTGTAGTTCTGGTTGTTTTCTTGTTGGAGTTGGTGGTCAACATGGCAGTGAAAATGAGGATCTTGAATGGAGGATATCAACATGTATAGCTGAAAAATGTTTAATGTACAACCTAAACATTACACAGATTCGCTGCTATGTCCTGATGAAAATGATAATAAAAACATTCATAAATCCATTGTTTAATGGTGTGATTTCTAGTTACATGTGTAAGACAGTTTTGTTCCACTGTATTGAAGGTACCCAGTCTATTATCTGGCAGGAAAATAACTTAATTGTATGTTTATCGTTGTGTATTCATGATTTGTACACTAACATTTTTAATGAAAATTGTCCACATTTTTTCATTCCTGAAAACAACTTGATGAGAGGGAAGATTACACCTGAAGTCAAACCTTTCATACTGGATATACTTCAGCGTTTCATCAACAGCAATGGGGTAGCACTACTAGGAATCAAGTGTGATGATCTTGGTTCAAGGCTTCAGCTTAAGTTCAACAATATATTAGTATGCCCATTCAGAACATATGACGATATTTCAAAGAAACTACTAACAAACCTAAGTGGGATTTTTTTATCTGACATTACAATATACATGATTTTGAATATGGAACCAGTACAGATATCAAACATGTTAAAGCAGGCTATTTCTGACCTAGTTAGTCTTCAATGTCATGGACTAGACAAGACAGCTCGCAATCTTCTAGCACCAATGGTCTGTTCAAGGCTAGGATCTGTTTTAGCTTCTCTCGACATACAACAGTATAATACAATATCAGCCGAGACTCTCAAATGGATCTCCCTGGGTCTAAACACTGATGTTGCATCTAGTAAACTCAAACTTGCCTCAATGCTATACTGTACAGGGCAGTTTAGAAGAGCCGAAATTGTTCTCTGTGATATTGAAAGGCATTATGACCTTAAAATTGTTGAGCCTATTTGTCCACATTTAGACATAAGAGCACAAGCTTTCAATGCAGGATGTGATTTACAAATTGAAGAAGCAATGAAATGCACAGTAGCAAACTGTGTACAATTTTGGCCATGTGAAGTCTATTGTTCTCCAAAGGAATTAAGACCGGAAATGTTTCGATCTACAGAAGAGGACAAAGCTTTCAGAACATTGCAGGACTTCTGGATGAACAATGCTGAAGTGGATTCTCTAACTTTCCTCTACTTTCTACAGTACAAGATATACAGCCATCTCAACAAACAAGAAGATAAATGTGTGGCACTCTCTAAACTTACCAGAACCATTGAACAAGAACCAAGATTAGCTCACTCGGAAACAGCCTTGAATTTATTGGGGCAGTGCATGGAACAGGAACACAGACCTATAAATGCGTTACAGTGTTATTCCCTGTCACTGAATATAAGGTGGAGAAACAATGCTGCAAAGATTCATATCTGCAGACTTTTGAGTACACTTATAAATAACAGATAGTTAAAACCTATACAGTCATGTATCAATAAGGACAATAAAATTTATTTAACCACTATCATTCTGTCCTTCATACGCCAGAATTGAAGATTAAAGGCACATTATGCCTGAGAAATGATAATTATTTTCCTTCTTTAGAAAGGACAAAAATGAGTTTTACAATGTTTAAATAATGGTTTAAGAGCATGTTTAATGTCTGTTACCTGAAGAAAATGGCGTGTAATGTGAAATCACTTGTCATAAAAGTGGCAAAATGTAAATAAAGTTGTATATTGACTTCCATACAAAATTATTTTACTATATCACTATTATCTGTACTAACTGCCAGCATGCAACAGAAGCAAAAAATGGTTCGGATACTAGTAAATGGCTTATTAGGAATTTCTATTGGAAGGACATAGAAAATAAAAGTATTTTAAGGGCATAATGGGCCTTTAACTTGATTTAAGTATTTTATAGCCAAGTGGTATAAGTACAAGTTTCACAGTGACAATAACAATAAAATCCTTGTTTTTCAAGTATCAAATTCATTGAAATAATATTGTGATACATACATTGTACTTAGTGATCAACAGGAGAAGTAGATATTACATATGTGATACATAACTATTGAAATACAAGTCAATCACAGTGAACATTTATTTTATAGCATCTTTTTCATTAATTCATCATTTTCATCATTAATCAATTGTTGCAAAACATGAAAGAAAAACATATTGTACAGCAAAATAAAATGCTTTTTAGAGAAATTGCTATCAATCATGTCAGTGCATGCATTTCAATAATATAACTTTGTAAGATTTATTACTATGTTAATAAAATTTAATATTTATTTCTTTCTTTTATACTTTTATAATTAATTTCATAATTTATGAAATTTCATCTAATAAGTCCATAGACACATAATTGTCCTATGTAAAGATATTGCTTTCCACTATTTAGGCTCAGGTAGCTTTTTTTAAAGTGAAATAAGTAAGAATTTGCTAAACAATAAAGTCCTCTACTCGAAAGATCCTTACTCTAAATAGAACCGAATTCAAATATTTATGCTTGGCATTTATAAAACTAGAAATTTGTCCAAAGGACACTCATGCCACTGCTTCATTTTTGCTTTTCAGTGTCATATTTAGACATACTTTTAAAATTAATTTTCTCCAGCCTATTAATATTGTTAGATAAGAATTACACATCAAGTTTCTCCATGACCTGGAATTGATGACCTCAAAATCAATATGGGTCCTCACCTGCCCATGTAAAATGTTCCTAACAAGTTATATATACCAGCACTCTGTTATGGATTAAAAATGGTAATACACAGTGATGAATTACTGTGACCGTGACCATATATTCCAACCAAGCAACATATACCACAGCTTATTCCCTTCTCAACTTGCGGATCAGAAAATGGTAGTTTAAAACACAGTGTACTACTGTAACCTTTTGACCTTACAAGATTGTCTAATGGCTATAGGTAATGCCCCTACCAAGGTACATAAACCATGGCTTATTCTTTCTCAAGATATTGATCAGACAATGATTGATTGTACACAAAATTTTGCTGTGACCTTGACCTTATGACCACAAAATCACTAGGGACCATCTCCTGGCCTTGGGTGAAGTTCCTTTAAAGGAACAGAAGCCAAGGCTTATTGTATCTTAAAGTTAATTGATCAGACAAAGATTGTCGCTGTAACCTTGACCTTTGACCAAATGATTTCAAAATAAGTTAAGATCATCTAGTCTGGCTATAGGGTATGTCCCTAGAAAGCTACATGAAACTCATGGCTTATTCCCTCTCAAGTAAATGAATTAACAAAAACTTCAAACCAAGTGTCACTGTGAGCAGGATGCTGACCTCAAAATCAAAAGGATCATCTACCTCCGAAGATTAATTTCCTACCAAGAAAAACCACAGCTCCTTCCTCAAGATAATGATCATGCATAAGTATGTTTTGGCCAATCCAATCCATGCAAATAAGTGGTGGCATAAGAAGGAAAAAACTTATTACTTTACAAGAGGGCCATGATGGCCCTGAGTATTTCACCAAAAACAACTGCTTTTCAGTGTTGGAAATTATCCGTTGTCAATATTTTCTGATATTAAATTTGAGCCAATCAAATTAATATATTGGCTCAAATTAATATAAGCAAACTTGATAAAAGACTACCTAATAATGCTACAAAGTTTGGTGATCATCTATCAATTATTTCAGTAGGAAATGATGTTCAAAGGTATTTCTATTTTTAGCTTTAGCGGACCCTAAAATGGGTTAATCAAATTAATATGATCAAACTTGATAAAAGACAACCTAAGCATGCTACAGACAATATTTGGTAATCATTCATCAATTAGTTCTGTAGAAATACATGTTTAAAGGTATTTCTATTTTTAGCTTTAGCTGCCCCTACAAGGGGCCAATCACAATAATATGAGCAAACTTGGTATAAGACTACCCAAGAATGCTACAGACAAAGTTTGGTGATCATCCATCAATTAGTTCTGTAGAAGAAGATGTCTAAAGGTTTTTCTATTTTTAGCCTTAGAGACCCCTAAAAGGGGCCAATCAAATTAATATGAGCAATTTGATAAAAGGCTACCAAAGAATGCTGCAGACAAAGTTTGGTGATCATCCATCAATTATTTCTCTAGATATAGATGTTTAAAGGTATTTCTAATTTTAGCTTTAGCTGCCCCGAAAAGGGGCCAATCAAATTAATATGAGCAAACTTGATAAAAGACTACCCAAGAATGATACAAAGTTTGGTGATCATCCATCAATTAGTTCTGTAGAAATTGACGTTCAAAGGTATTTCTATTTTTAGCTTTAGCGGCCCCTAAAACATTTAAAAGGGGCCAATCACAATAACATGAGCAAACTTTGTATAAGACTACCCAAGAATGCTACAGACAAAGTTTGGTGATCATCCATTAATTAGTTCTGTAGAAATAGACGTTAAAAAGGTTTTCTATTTTTAGCCCTAGAGACCCCTAAAAGGAGCCAATCAAATTAATATGAGCAAATTGATAAAAGACTACCCAAAAATGCTACAGACAAAGTTTGGTGATCATCCAACAATTAGTTCTCTAGATACAGATGTTTAAAGGTTTTTTATTTTTAGCTTTAGCTGCCCCTTAAAGGGGTCAATCAAATTAATATGAGCAAACTTGATAGAATGATACAGACAAAGTTTGATGATCATCCATCCATTAGTTCTGTAGAAGAAGTCCTTTAAAGGTTTTTCTTTTTTCAGCCCTAGAGACCCCTAAACGGGGCAAATCAAATTAATATGTGCAAATTTGATAAAAGACTACCCAAGAATGCTGCAGACAAAGTTTGGTGATCATCCATCCATCAATTAGTTCTCTAGATACAGATGTCTAAAGGTTTTTCTATTTTTTGCCCAAGAGACCCCTCAAACGGGCCAATTAATATGAGCAAACTTGATAAAAGACTACCCAAGAATGCTACAGAAAAAATTTGGTGATCATCCATCAATTAGTTCTGTAGTAGAAGATGTTTAAAGTTTTTTCTATTTTTAGCTCTGTTGACCCCTAAAAGGGCCCAATTGAATTGACATGAGCAAATTCAAGTGTGACTGTCACAAGGTTGCTACAGACCAAATTTGAAGGTAATCTGCCCAGCAGTTTCAGAAAAGAAGACAATTGTTGATGCATGACGAAGGACTCCAGAGTATCCCCCTTTGATACTAATAGCTCACCCTGAGCCTTCGGCTCTGGTGAGCTAATAAAACAAGAGGGCCATGATGGCCCTGAGGTCGCTCACCTGTATATAGGCCCCCCAACCCCCCAACATTGCAGGGCCAATTTAACCCAAGGGCTTTTATTTGCACAAACTTGGTAGACACCCATAAGATGTTTCATGCTAAACATCTAAACTCTAGCTCATTGGGCTTTTAAAAAGAAGATTTTTTTAAAGTTTTTACTATACACATATAGTTAAAAACAATGACACCCCTGGGGCCGGGCCAGGGCTTTTATTTGAACAAACTTTGTAGACACTGACTAGAAAATGTTTCATGCTTAATATCTAAACACTAGCTATTTGGGTTTTTTCAAAGAAGATTTTAAGTTTTTGCTATACACATATAAAGAAAATCAATGACCCCCGGGGCGGGGCCAATTTTGACCCCAGGTCTTTTATTTGAACAAACTTTGTAGACACTCACTAAAAGATGTTTCATGCTTAATATCTTAACTCTAGCTATTTGGGTTTTTTCAAAGAAGATTTTTTAAGTTTTTGCTATACACATATAAGGAAAATCAATGACCCCCGGGGCGGTGCCAATTTTGACCCCAGGGCTTTTATTTGAACAAACTTGGTAGACACCTATTAGAACATGTTTGATGCTCAATATCTTAGCCATAGCTCTTTGAGATCTTTAAAAGAAGATTTTTTAAGTTTTTACTATATGCATATAGGGAAAATCAATGACCCCCTGGGCGGGGCCAATTTTGACCCCATGGCTTTTATTTGAACAAATTTGGTAGACACTCATTAGAACATATTTCATGCTAAATATCTTAGCTCTAGCTCTTTGGGTTCTTTAAAAGAAGATTTTTTAAGTTTTTACTATATGCATATAGGGAAAATCAATGACCCCCCGGGGGGGCCAATTTTGACCCCAGGGCTTTTATTTGAACAAACTTGGTAGACACTCACTAGAAGATGTTTCATGCCAAATATCTAAGCTCTAGCTCTTATGGTTTTTTAAAGGAAGATATTTAAAGTTTTTTCTTTCGGTTGCCATGGCAACCAGAGTTCTGCATGGAATTAAATTCTTTGAACAATTTTTAAAGGTGACCACCAAAGGAACATTCCTGTGAAGTTAGGATGAAATTGGCTTAGTGGTTTATGAGGAGATGTCATTTAAAGTAAAAGTTTACGGACGGACGACGGACGGACACCGGACGAAAAGCGATCACAAAAGATCACCCTGTCACTCGGACACCGGACGAAAAGCGATCACAAAAGATCACCCTGTCACTTTGTGACAGGTGAGCTAAAAACTGGGGTCAAAATTAGCCCTGCCCCAGGTCATTAATTTTCCTTACATGTATACATCTTTTGCAACTGTTGTTTTCTGCATCCACTATTTAAAATACAAATATGAACATTTTGTAAGATTCAGATTTTATATACCGGTAGTTTACAATATTCATAGAGAGTTTCTATATTCAGGTGAGCAATTTGATGGCCATCATGGACTTCTTGTTTGTTTGACAAACAGACTGAAGGTAAACCTATTAATTGAGTCAAAAATGTGACCTCTAGAGTGTTAACAAGGTTTTTCTATTTTTAGCTCCTGTGACCTAGTTTTTCATCCAAGATGACCCATGTTCTAACTCATCCAAGCTATTACCTAGATAAGCATCCTGACCACGTTTGATGATATTGAGGCAAAAATGTGACCGCTCGAGTGTTAACAAGTTTTTTTCTATTTTTAGCTCCTGTGACCTAGTTTTTCATCCCAGATAACCCATGTTTAAATTCGTTCAAGCTATTATCTAGATAAGCATCCTGACAAAGTTTGATGATAATTGAGGCAAAAATGTGACCGCTAAAGTGTTAACAAGGTTTTTCTATTTTTAGCTCCTGTGACCTAGTTTTTCATCCCAGATAACCCATGTTTAAATTCGTTCAAGCTATTATCTAGATAAGCATCCTGACAAAGTTTGATGATAATTGAGGCAAAAATGTGACCGCTAGATAGTTAACGAACAAATGTGGATGGACGACGGACATTCTAGGATCCTAAAAGCTCACCCTGAGTTAGCTCAGGTAAGCTAAAAAACAAAAAAACATTGTATTATAATACAGAGATAAACAAAGATAAAATTGTATTTTTACATCTTTTAATATTAAACACACAAAATATAATTTGATCACATGATGTCCCATTTTTCTTCAAAGGCATTACACAGTTTTGCACAAGTTAAAGCAGCAGAGAGTGGATAATTACTGATAGAGTATTCCTCTTCTGTATAGTCTGTATCAATCTACAATATAAATATAGTTTAACATTAAACTATAGTCTGTTCCAATATACAAGGGTCTTGTCCAGGACCATATATGTCATCTACTTATAGTTTATTCAATATATAGCAGTAACTATAAAAGGAGTGATGACTCAGTGGTTAAGGTGTCTGCCTCTTATCCAAGAAATCACCGGTTTGAACCCTACTCCGGGTCACAACAAGGTTTCTTTATATGACACCACATCCAGGTTTCCTCATGACACCACAACCAGGTTTCCTCATGACACCACAACCAGGTTTCTTCATATGACACTACAACCATATTTCTTCATATGACACCACAACCAGATTTCCTTATATGACACCACAACCAGATTTCTTCATATGACACTACAACCAGATTTCTTCATATGACACCAGTACTGGTTTAGTTCAGGAAGTGGATTTGAAAGTGATTGATTTAACTTAAAAGAACTTGTTTTGCAAAAAAGCTCATATAAATGTGTTTAAACTATAATGTCACTAAACTGATATGAACTCCTTTGTGTGGCTTTAAAAGAAGTGCATCATTACCCAATTTGTGTGGCTTTAAAAGAAGTGCATCATTACACAATTTATGTGGCTTTAAAAGAAGTGCATCATTACCCAATTTGTGTGGCTTTAAAAGAAGTGCATCATTACACAATTTGTGTGGCTTTAAAAGAAGTTGATCATTACACAATTTGTGTGGCTTTAAAAGAAGTTGATCATTACACAATTTGTGTGGCTTTAAAAGAAGTGTGTAGTCTGAATTACAGGAGATAAACATGTAAGCTCTATATTAAACTTACACTGCCATGAGCCATGGCCCCTACCACAAACACTACAGGATCATCAGAAGGAACTAACGTCCGTGGATCAACACATTTCTCCGCTTTAAATGACATACCAATCTTCTTACATCCTATAGGTAAATGATCTGTCACTGGGTTCTTTATAACCTAAAATACAGAAACAAAACTGGTTTACAAAACACATGCCTGTCGCAAGATAGTAAAATGGTACTTTTCCAATGGTACTTTTCCACATTTCTTTTTTTATGCACATATCCATTTTAAGTCAAGAAATAAGGTTAATTGGAGAGAGAAATAACACTCAAAATATGAACTTTTGTTGTCATTGGGAATTTCTGAGCACCATTATTTTGGGACAAAGCAGGCATTTTTGCCTATGGGAATGGATCCATTTATCAGACTCATCTGAAGAAAGGAACAAAGTCCAGCTTTATTTGCCATCCAATGAAAACACTGTATTTCTTAAAAATTCTGTGTGTTGATTTTCATAGAAGAACAAAAGTTGATCCTATATCAAATTCCGTTCAAAGTCACCAAGCGTTGAGTGAAAAACAATAGTGTCCCCTTTAAGCTTTATAAGTGACTAACTCGGTAAGTGATAATCACATCATTCTATTCATACTAAGGAACATTACTATTGGTAAGCTTATTATATAACATATAGGACAGTATTTTTCATATGTAAAAGCTAACTGGATAGCTTCCTTACATGAAAGAATTCAATGTTTCTGGGGAGATGTGAAGGGCGAATGGTGCAAAGTAAGCGGCCTTGGCAACAGCAAAGTAAGCGACCTTGGCAACAGAGACCCGTAATGATGGATAGTATGGTGATTTTGTTGACAAACAAGACATACAGTACTGAAATTATGTATTTACCTTTAACAATTTTTGAGGACCATCAGCTGCATGTATACTGAGCTTGTGTAATAACTGAACTGAAATAAAAGAGCAACAATTCAGTTAATTTAGTAAGAAAATTTGTGGTTTTGTCACTAGCTAAGTTAGAAAGGCACCATAAGAGCTTTACAGTCTCAATCTTTAAGATTTTTCATTTAATATTTACACTTAATTAGAAATCAGTATCACCTTTTCACAGACCTTTAAATTTGTTTTTTGTTTTGATCAACATCACAGTAAATACATTTGTATTCTCATAATAAGAGATCAATATAAAGACTCTAATACATTTTGTACAGAATGATATTGTTAACCTCTTTTATGTACATGCTGTGTCTAACCAATAATTTTAAATAAATACTTTTTTAAAATGCATAAGTATTGTTTAAACATATTTAAGCTCATTTAAAAACAAAAACTCCAATTATATAATCACTTTCGAGATCACTTCCTGAAACCAACCAGTACTGGTGTCATATAAAGAAACATGATCGTGACCCCATTAGGACTTTAAACCATGATTTCTGAGTTGAGAGGCGGACAACATAACCACTAGGCCACAGCTTCCTTTAGTAGCGATGTTAGAAGATGAATATTGATAGCATACCCATCAGACCACAAAATCTGTCAAAAGTTCTTGGTATTCTTGTCTGAGGGTTGACCTCTATGAGGACATTTTTCTCTGTGTGAATATAAACTTGTAACAAACCAGCTCTGTTTAAAGGGCTGTCCAGTAACATCAACAGGCACTGTAATCAAGACAAGAAATTATAAATATCCAGCCAGGGCTACAGATAACATTTTGTGAATATTGGGTGATTACCCCTTGTTTTGTGATCTATTGGGTTTTTTCTATTTTCTTAGAGTTATTTCTGTTACCCTCTCTAACCAATTTGGGTTATAAAGCACAAGTTCATGTATTTAAACCAAAATTTCTGAACTTCTTTTAGTCTAAATTAGACTGTTGTAGGTTTTGTATGGTAATTAAAAAGGTACTTACTACTATGCTTTATGGTTTATTGGCCTAGGAGATTTCCAAGCTACCTGATATAATTTTAAGGTTAAAACAGTCTGAAACAGTATGATCTGCCTGATGTACGGCGTTAAGTATAACTTACGTCTTTACCCACCAGCTCAAATGTAGTTTGCATAAATAAGAGTTTATTTACTTTTTCTTACCCTTACTTATTATTTCTATTGTGGTTTTTGACACATTAGTTGGGTAATTACGCAAATGACGCATGTTATCTGCAGCCATGTCCAGCAGAAGGAAAACAGTCTCACTATTGTTTAAAACGTTTTGTAATGAGGTTGG